GGGCCATGGTGCACGACCGCAACCACCTGGTAGGGCTGGTGATCGAGCCGCAGCACATCTGGCAGATCCACCAGATGTGGAAGAAGGAGGGCAAGGACGTGCCGTGGGCGTTGGCATTCGGCGTGCCGCCCGCGGCGATCATGGCCTCGTCGATGCCCATCCCGGACGGGGTCAGCGAAGCCGGATACGTGGGCGCGATGACGGGCCGCTCCCTGGACCTCGTCAAGTGCGACACCAACGACCTGTACGTGCCCGCCAACGCGGAGATCGTCTTCGAGGGCACGCTGTCCATCACCGAGCGCGCCGACGAGGGCCCCTTCGGCGAGATGCACGGCTACGTCTTCCCCGGCGACACCCACCAGTGGCCCGTCTACACCGTCAACAAGATCACCTACCGCTCCAACCCCATCCTCCCCATGTCCGCCTGCGGCCGTCTCACCGACGAGACCCACACCATGATCGGCGCCCTGGCCGCCGCCGAGATCCGCAAGGTCTGCCAGCAGGCCGGCCTGCCCGTCACCGACGCCTTCTCTCCCTTCGAGTCGCAGGTCACCTGGGTGGCGCTGAAGATCGATACGGCCAAGCTGCGCGAGAGCAAGGTCACGGCCAAGGAGTTCCAGAAGCAGGTGGGCGACGTGGTGTTTAACCACAAGGCCGGCTACACGATCCACCGGCTGGTGCTCGTCGGCGAGGACATCGATGTCTACAACGGCAAGGACGTCATGTGGGCCTTTTCCACGCGCTGCCGCCCCAACGCCGACGAGACTTTCTTCGAGGACGTGCGCGGCTTCCCCCTGATTCCGTACATGGGCCACGGCACTGGCTCCCCCGTGCAGGGCGGCAAGGTCGTCTCCGACGCCCTGATGCCCTCCGAGTACACGACGGGGGCGGATTGGCAGGCGGCTGATTTTGAGAACTCGTATCCCGCTGAGTTGAAGGAGCGCGTGCGGGCCAAGTGGGAGGAGATGGGCTTTAGCAAGTTGGAGTAGGCTGGTCGGGGCTTGTATTTAGAACTTATAGATTGCTTAGAGGTTTTGTATAGTGAAATGAATGTATAGTTTGTTAATTTCTGGTGCATCGAGTAGCTTAGGGCTCAGCTGGTAGATTTGAGAATGGTAGTTATGCCCCGCAGGACCCATGTAACCCTCCAGGCAATTGATTACATCGCAAGCCCACTTCCTGTTTAGATTACCTCGATGCAAACAGAGAGAGCATTTGTGGTCACTGAGGAGGCAAAAGCATTTGATTATATTAAGTGTGTATAAGGGCTATAGTACAGTACGCTGGTGAGCGTATCGGCTTTCTAGTTGGCTAATGGGTAGACGGTAGGCAGTGTCGCTACCTTGTAGAGTCCCGTTCCTTCTTACAGCTTGCCCACACCCGCATGAGCAGTCACGCTGGCGGGCACCTCGGCAACCCCCACATGGCCGATGAGGTACTGCTTGAACTTGGCGAACTCGGTCAGGACGGTGGCATCGGTGCGGTCGGGCCAGCTGCCGGAGCCACTCGCGCGGTTCCATTCGCAGATGTAGCCGAGCTGGCCGGTGCAGCCGCTGGCGGCGGCGACGGTGGAGGTGGTGTACAGCTGGCCGCCCTTGGTCAGCGAGTCCGGGGTCATGGGGGTAGTGACGGCGTCGAAGTAGTTGCCCTCGAGCAGCAGGCGGGTGTTGGTGTCGACGTCGAAGGCGTGGCCACCGACGTTCTGGAAGTAGTTGTTGACGCCGTGGAAGTAGATGGTCGAGGCGTCGTAGTCGGTGCCCATATGCGGCGCACGGCCGGAGACGTCGTGCAACCAGTTGTTCGCGAAGGTGTAGTAGTCTTCGGCGCCCAGCAGCAGCAGCGTCCAGTAGTGCTTGCCGTTGCATCCGGCCGACCAGCTGGTCTTGCCGTCGAACTCGTTGTTCGAGATGGTGACGTGGCCCGCCTTGTTCCAGCCGCTGACGATCATCTGGCGGCCGATGAGGGAGAACTGCCGCGCATCAGTGAGGGACGATGGCGAGAATATTCGCAAGTGAGGGGAGAGCTACCTTGTTGTGGTCGATCCAGACCTTATCCGCCCCGTCGAGGGTGAGGGCATCGCCACCCCAGACGTACTCGGGGTTGAGGTCGGTGATGTGGATGTTCTGGATGATCACGTTGGAGTTGCCCCCGCGCACGCGCAAGCCCTTGCCCTTCAAGACGCCCTTGCTGCCCACCCCGACGATGCTCTTGTTGCTGCCCACGTCCAGCGGGGACTTGGCGGCGTTGTCGTAGGTGCAGCTGATCCAGGTGCCGTCGTCGCAGTGGTCCTGGATCCAGGCCTGGCCCTTGGAGGTGCCGCCGGGACAGGTGGTCGTCTTGGTGCTGCAGCATTTGCCCGTGGTCGTGCCCTCGGTGCCGGTGAAGTCCCATTCGCGGTCGATCATGATGGTGCGCGCCACGTCGTCGGTGATCCACTGTTTGAGTCTGTCATGTGTCAGCAATCTTGAGTTGCGTACTCATGTACGGTACGAGAGAACTCACTGCGCAAGACTGGAAGGCGTCGCAGCGGCTGCGTTGCCACCACCGGTGGTGCCCGAGGCAAAGCCGAAGGCCTTGCCGGTGACACCGGCGGCGTTGACCTGGCCCAGCAGGAGAGCAGCCAGAACGGCAGAGATGGTGGTGCGCATGATGATTGACGTGCGATGAAGATTCAGAGTGCTGGTGTTGTGCTGTTGAAGTTAATGCAGCAGCATCGAGCGGCATTTATACCGGTGCTCTACCTCCTCTCAGCCCACCTCTCCGTGTCGCATTGGGCGGTTGCAGACCCCATTACCGTTGCCAAGACTTGGCACGTCGCAGCTTGACACCGGATGAGCTATAAAAAAAGGTTCTTCTGGCGCCGGACCACCGGTTTGGGGCATGACAACCAATCCTCTCGCAGGGGTGGATTGGGTGTCTGAGACTGAGCACACCGGCAAAGACCCTTGCACCACGAAGACACCGTCCGTCGGGAGACAGGCACAGTTTTATCTCAGCAGCTGGGGCTATTTCCGGTCGCCAAGGATGACAGTAGGGTTCGGAGAGGAATAAATGCCGCGATATGGAGGGCATTCCGGCCGGTCCGGTAGGGTTAAGGTTGTATATTTCCGACACTTGGCGTTGCACCTGCGACAAAAACCCCTTGGCTAGCACCTGTTCGCGGAATGCGGTGGCCTGCTGCATACCCTGTAGGAAGCAAAATGTCTTGGGAAATGTCTTGGGTGCAGTCGGCCTCGGCAAGTGTTCACATCATCTGGAGTGCCAACCTCGGGAGTGAAGGTGGTCTTCCTTGAAGAGATTGAACATGCAGAGACTTCGCATGCTCAACTATTGATGGATATAAACTTAAAAAAGAAAGTACTTTCAACACCTCCGGTTGTGTAGTGTAATGGTTAGCACCCAGGATTCTGATTCCTGTAATCCCGGTTCGATCCCGGGCACGACCTTTTTGTTTGCCCCTTCTTTTTGCCCCCTTTTTTCCTACACAGATATATACAATAAAATACACTCTATCTACCATGACTTTCCCAAAAAGCAAAGGAACGGTGATTGCCTGATAGAATCATGTTAAATGGTATCCAACCAACGCAGATCATGCCAGTATGTGCGTTCTCTGTGGCGCAAGGTGTGTGTTGTATATTCCGTCGCCCAATTGTGCACCGGTGGATGCTTGCATAAGAACAACTTTAACAACAAACTCAACGCCCAACAGCCACTTCACTGAAAACAAATGCGCAGGAGAACCATCAGAAGAAAGGGCTTTCATACCCAAATCATAGAAGAAGAATTCTTGACATCTGCCAGAAATTAAATCAACAGAGTAAAGTTACGTGCTCTACTCCATACCGTAGTGGACTATAGATAAGATAAGAGCATACCGGATCCTCGGTGGATCTTGACACGGGCTTGATACGCAGTGCTGCTCGTTTTGCTTGGGCATTGAGGTTATGATTTTATAGTGGATTAGACTTCTTGAAAACTTCTAGTTTGTCAGCCTCAGATTGAATGGCAGGCCGTTTCTTAGAGAACATCAACCGACTAGAATGAAATCTCACTGCCGTTGAGCCATCTGTGTCAGGATGGAAACGATAATCCCACAAAGTATGAATCGATTGCCCAGTGACATAAGTTTGTATGAATGAGACTACTATAAGAGGGTGCAGGCAGCTAGATTCAGTACTTTGAGTCTACTGGTGGCTGACGTCACGCAGCCTAGATCGATCACTCCCTAAAGATATTTCCCAGGTCTACACAGCACTGCGAGACAAGCTGAGAATGATACTTTCAAAGGTCCAGAATATCGGCGCATTCAGGCTAAATAATCTAGTCAGTGGGGCGAGAATTGACGCTTAATAGCACGTAGTCACGCTGCTTTACATCAGCAACAGGGTCTCGGGCTTGATTTCAATCCCGTTCCGACTGGTCGTTGCGTGGTTCCCCAGCTGAGTTCCCACTATCGACTCTATTTCCAGAGCCTGTCTTCTGCCGTTACCCGTCTTTGATGGTCGGAGCGAGGGCTGGGCCCGCAAAATAGCCATCCGTGGGGTTATCCGGAAGGAGGCCGAATTGTCGCTGTGCGGAGAACCCGTATATGCACCGTCAGCCGTAACGCAAAGCATCGGTAAGGCTACGACGATTTATATTAGGGGTCTTGCATGATTACATTCTGGTGATGGTGAGGACCGTCTATTCCTATAAGCTACAGTGAAAGGTATGCGACACTATGAGGGACGATGGCGTCTCATCTCCTCGACCTCCTCGACCACCCCCACACAGATCTGTACGACCCTCGTTGACCCCATTCCTGAACCCCAGATTCAGGCTGAATGGAATGGGTTGGTAGAAGATCGACCGGGTGACTGCCGAATACAGTGACAATACTAGAGTTTGCAGTACTGGAGCGGGTAAAAGTTGGCTTGCCCATGAAGGGAGGCACATATATAGTCAGGGAGCCAGACGTGAAGCAGAAAAAGGAGCTCAATCATCTATCGATATCTGCCATGGTTGCCACTGCACTCCTTATCACCTTCGTGGCGCTCATGCCGACGGCCTTCGCGCAGGTCAATACGAGCTATGTCGATTATAATATCGTCGCCCATCCGGACTTGTCCCCCCTGAGCACCGATCTGGTTGACTTCTCGTTCCCGGACTGCTCCAATGGCCCCTTGCGTGGAAGTCTGGTCTGTGACCGCACTGCTAGCGCCCATGATCGAGCGGCTGCCCTCACATCCATGATGACTCTTGAGGAGCTCATAAATAGCACAGGGAACCGCATCCCTGCCATCCCTCGCCTGGGACTGCCGCCATATCAGATCTGGAATGAAGCACTGCACGGCCTCTATCTCGCCAATTTCACCGGGTGCGGACCTTTCAGCTGGTCGACCTCCTTCCCATCACCCATCTTGACCATGGCCGCCCTCAATCGTACTCTGATCCACCAGATTGCCCAGATCATTGCAACCCAAGGGCGCGCCTTCAATAATGCGGGCCGGTACGGGTTGAACGCATTCTCGCCCAACATCAACGCCTTCCGACACCCGGTCTGGGGCCGTGGACAGGAGACCCCCGGGGAGGACGCGAACTGCCTGTGCTCGGCGTACGCCTACGAATACATCACCGGGCTGCAGGGCAACTCGACGAACCCCAAAATCATTGCGACCGCCAAGCACTACGCCGGCTACGACATTGAGAACTGGCGCCAGCGGTCACGCTTCGGTAATGATCTAAACATCACCCAGCAGGATCTCGCCGAGTACTTCACCCCGCAGTTTGTGGTCGCGGTCAGGGACGCGCAAGTCCGCAGTGTGATGCCGTCCTACAATGCGGTCAACGGGGTGCCCAGCTCCGCCAACACCTTCCTTCTCCAGACCCTCGTCCGTGACTCGTGGGGCTTCATCCAAGATGGGTACATGGCCTCCGATTGCGATGCGGTGTACAATGTCTTCAATCCGCACGGATACGCGGCCAATCTGTCGAGCGCCTCAGCCATGTCCTTGCGCGCTGGCACAGATATCGACTGCGGGATCTCGTACCTGACCACTCTCAACGAGTCCTTGACCCAGGGCCAGATATCCCGGAGCGAGATCGAGCGGGCGGTGACCCGGTTTTACTCCAATCTTGTGAGCGCGGGGTACTTTGACGGACCGGACGCGCCGTACCGCGATCTAAGTTGGTCGGATGTTGTCCGTACCGACCGCTGGAATGTGGCGTACGAGGCCGCGGTGGCCGGAGTGGTTCTTCTCAAGAACGATGGTGTCCTGCCACTCTCGAAAAGCGTACAGCGGGTGGCCCTAATTGGACCGTGGGCGAATGCCACAGAGCAAATGCAGGGCAACTACTACGGCGTCGCGCCCTACCTCACCAGCCCACTCGCTGCGGTGCAGGCCTCCGGGCTGGAGGTCAACTATGCCTTCGGCACCAACATCACGTCCAATGTCACCACTGGCTTCGCCGCTGCGTTAGCTGCGGCAGAGAAGTCCGATATCATTATCTTCGCCGGCGGGATCGACAACACCCTGGAAGCCGAGGAGCTGGACCGCGACAACATCACCTGGCCCGGAAATCAGCTCGAGTTGATTCACCGGCTCGGGGAACTTGGCAAGCCGCTGGTGGTGCTGCAGATGGGCGGCGGCCAAGTGGACTCGTCCGCGCTGAAGGCCAGCGAGAAGGTCGGGGCCCTGCTCTGGGGCGGATACCCCGGCCAGGCTGGCGGCCAGGCGCTGTGGGACATCCTCACCGGCCAGCGAGCGCCGGCGGGGCGACTGACCACGACGCAGTATCCCGCCGAGTACGCCCTGCAGTTCCCAGCCACCGACATGAGCCTGCGGCCCCGCGGCGACAACCCCGGCCAAACCTATATGTGGTACACGGGCGAGCCGGTCTACGCTTTCGGGCATGGGTTGTTCTACACCACCTTCGCGACAGCCCTCGCTGGCCCTGGGCAAGAACCAGAACGCTCTTTCGACATTGGCGCCCTCCTGGCTCGGCCTCACGCCGGGTACAACCTCGTCGAGCAGCTCCCCTTTTTGAACTTTACCGTCAAGGTCACCAACACCGGCGAGGTGGTCTCCGACTACACGGCCATGGCCTTCGCCAACACCACCGCGGGCCCCCGGCCGCACCCAAACAAATGGCTCGTCGGATTTGACCGCATCGGACCACTGGACCCGCGGGTGTCGGCGCGCATGTCAGTCCCTGTGTCGCTGGACAGCCTCGCGCGCACCGACGCGCAGGGCAACCGCGTCATTTATCCGGGACCCTACGAGCTGGCGTTGAACAACGAGCGATCGCCGGTACTGTCTTTCACGCTGACGGGCAACGCCACTACGCTGGCCCAGTGGCCGCTGCAAGAGCAGTAGATTCTGTCCTGTCGAGGACCGAGAGGTCCGGAAGCCGGTGGTGCTGGGGTGGTGGAGGGAGGATCACCGGGGAAGATCGAGGCCAATGCATCTACCGTCATGCAGGGTGAAGGTACAGTACCTACCCCGGAAATAGCATCAGTCAATTGCCATAAAATCAGGAAAGGGAAGCTCCGTATATGTTGAAGGCCGCACTATCATATCCACACACAACACAGACATTGCGGATCCTCAAATTGTAAGGCACTGTTGGGATTGTTATTAAAATAGCAAACTCATTCGAATGAAAACCCGAGTCCTGGGCTGGGCTTTTGATTTGCTCAAAACGTCAATTAGCCGAGGTATAGAGAATTGAAACTATCCATGACTTGTACAAGAATAGCGGCAAAGGAATAGATAACAACTGAATTAGGAGTTGTGTTGATTATAGGAACGATCGACTTGGTGGAATCGCAACTTTACTGATAAGGGATCACATTACATCACCTGCAAAAGACCAAACCCCTCAAAACAGAGACGTCACCAGATCCTCGAACTTGAGTAGCGAAACAGCAGTGGAGGGGACAAATGCCCTACAACCCCCTCTCCTCCAACACGCGCCTCAACCTCGCCTCGAATCCCTCCACAAACTGCGGATTCAGCATATCGGCATGATCGCCCTCACACTCCACAAACCCGACCTCCTCGCGGGAGAAATGCCGCCAGGCCCCCAGAAACCCCTCGACCCATTGGCGGCGGTCGACGCACACCGAATGCAGCGGGATGCAGTGGAACACGTCCATCTTCCGCACCGTCCCGCTGGGCACGTACTTGCGCCCCATCTCTCCGAAGTTGTCCGTCACGTAGACGATGGCCGTGAGCTGCTCCGGGGTGAGGTTCAGCTTCGCGCGCTGCTCCGGGGAGGCGGTTTCCAGTAACCGGGCAATGACTTGATCGCGGGGCAAGTCGGCGAGGTCGGATTCGTAGCGCGGGATCGAGTCCTGGGGGATCAGGCCCAGGAAATAGGTCACGCGGATCGCGGCGCGCGTCCAGTCCAGATGTTGAACCAGCGGGATGATGTGCGGCGGCGAGTCGAGGGCGGCGCAGAAGGCGACCTCGTCGCCGTGGGCTTCGAGTCGCTTGGCCAGCTCGAAGGCCACGGTCGTCCCCAGCGAATACCCCGTCAAGGCGTACGGCCCCCGCGGCTGCACGCGTTTGACGTGCGTGTAGTAGGTGTCCGCCATCTGGGGGATGCTCTCGAACAGCTGGCCGTGGTTGTCGAGCCCCCGTGCCGTGAGGCCGTAGAGGGGTCGGTCGGTCAGGGTGCGCGCCAGCGGCAGGAAGGCCAGCACGTTGCCCGAGGCCGGGTGGACGAGCCACAGGGGCGGCTTGTCGCCGCGCGGCTGCAGCGGCACGACCGGGTTGTACTGCGTCGAGGCCGCGTGGTCGATCGTGTAGGCGATGTTGCGCACCACGGGGCTGTTGAGGAAGGTGATCAGCGAGACGCCCGCGGCGAAGCCGAGCCGAGCGCGGAGCAGCTGCTCGAACCGGAACAGCGTGATGGAGGTCACCCCCAGCTCGAAGATGGTCTTGTCGACCGAGATAACCGCGGCGGGGAGGTCGAGCATCGTCTCGAGCACAGCGACGATGGCAGATTCGGTGGGCGTGGTGGGGGGTTGGCGAGGGGTGGCGCGCGCGGACTGGATGGGGCCCTGGGAGCGGATCATGTTCGCGTCGAAGACCCCGGCCAGGAACTCGGTTTGGAGCTTCGTGCGGGAGAGTTTACCCAGGGAGGACTTCTGGAGCCGGTTGGCAGGCACGGGAATGACCCAGCTGGGGCGGACGTGGGGGATGGTGCTGGCGATGCTGGCGACGCTCTCGGCGGTGCGGTCACGCTGGATGGGGTCGGCGACGGGGTTGTTAGGGCTGTAGATCACGCAGTAGCCCTCCGTGTCGCTGCCTGACGGTCGGTGGGCGAACACCGCAAAGTGCGCGGGCAAGAGGCCCGGGATCTGCGCCTTCTCCAGCACCGTCTCGATCTCTTGTGGCGAGTAGTTCACCCCGTTGATCACCAGGATCTCCTTGTCGCGTCCGGCGAGGTTGAGTCGCCCGGCAGCGTCTAGATATCCCCGGTCGCCCGTGCGGAACCAGCCATCGGGGGTGAAGGCGCGCTGGGTCGCCTCCGGACAACGGTAATATTGGCTGAAGACCACGGGGCCTGACAGTTGGACCTCCCCGACCTCTGACGGAGCGGCGGAGACGCCTGGAGCGGGTTGGATACGGACCCGGGCGTGGTCGACGGTCGTCCCCACCGAGGCGAACTCGTGTTCCTGCTGCGCTTCGTAGACGGGGTCGAACCGGCCGTAGGTGAGCGCAGCGCAGGCCTCAGTGAGACCGTAGGCAATGTAGAGGACGGAGTCGACGGTGCCCAGCTGCGCGAGCTGCCGAGTGAGCGTCTGCGCCAGCTCGACTACATTCGCCTCGCCCCCGGTGACGATCGCCTTCAGCGAGGAGAGATCAATGGCTGGACGCCCGTCAGTTTCCTCTAGAGCGGCAAGTCGCTGCCGTAGCAGAGCCAGGAAGAAGTTGGGTGCAAAGGTATGGGACACGCGATGGCGTTCAATGAGCTGCAGGAAAACCAAGGGGTCGGCGATCACATCTCGCGCCTGCACCTGCACTTGCTCCGAGGCAGTGAAGATCGCATTCAGGTGGATCTCCAACAGATTGGCGACGTGGTCCAGCCCGATCCAGTTCAACAGGATCGAGCGACCGGTATAGGCCTCTGCGCGGCTCTTGCTTCGCAGGGCGGCTACCACTTGGGGCACAGTCAGGGAGACGGCTTTCGCATGACCGGTGCTGCCCGAGGTAAGCATCAGCACTGCTGACTCCGTCCCCTGGCGCGGACGCGACCGCGCGGTCGTAGCATCGTGCTTAGGATTCGTGTGACCTAATTGCTCAATGGTCAGAGTGCGCGGTTGCTGGAGTTCCGGGAACTGAGCGACCACAGTGGCCGAGGTCAGGATTACGGGGTTTTCGAGCAGATCGTGGAGATGTTGTAGATGTTGCGCGCGTTGGGGTGCGTTTTGCGAGAGAGGCGTCGACAGAGCCGGGAGAAGACCGGCGTAGGCCACTGCCCAGAACCAGCGGATGTTGTCTGCATGGTTGTCCAGGTGGATGAGCACCACGGGGCTGTCGTCAATCTGGTGCAGGAGTAACGATGCATCCTCGTGGGCGCGACCAGCGAGATCGGCGTAGCTCCATCGCGTCGGACTTCCGCTCGTCTCTCCGGGGGAATAGATGCAGATTCCTGTCGGACTCCTGGCCGCGGCGTCTAAGATAGCCGGTAGACTCGTGGGTTCGTCGTCTGTCTGAGACGAGGACGAGCCATCATGTCCATTGGCCAATGCTGTCTCTCCCGTAGGATGCATTAGGAATGATGTCGGTGGGGATGTGCAGGGATATTCAGGAACCCCGGTCTGTATCTGTGACAGGGGGTGAGGAGGAGGATTGGCAACAAGAAAGAAAACAATGATGCAGAAGAAAATGCTGGCCTCACATGGTGGGACTGGAAATTTGGGGGTGATTCTTGTTCGATGGGCCCGTGACGGTGAATGGTGAAGAACTCGTCTCGGGAGGCTGCTTTTTGGCTGCAGAACAATTCACAACGGAGTGGCCAGCCTGACGACTTCACTGCATGATTCGGATCGGAGCAGACTGGCCGTCGCTTGAAATGTTAGCGCTTTGGCAGGATTGCTTAGCGTTGAGGCCGATCAACGCCGGTGGTCTTAGTACGACTTCACTAAGCCCTAATTCGGCAAATGAGTGCCATCCTGCATCTCCTCCCCCACTCAGATCACAGCCAGTGGACCTCAAGTCTCCCCCCTCAGCCGCTTTTATCTCGTCTGACGGCAGCACGGTCGGCGTTTGTCTGTGTCTATAACAGCAACAACGACAACCATCATTCAGCCTCCAACCTCAGCCCTCATTCAGAATGACGGCCGACGGTCAATCCCGCCCCAAGCCTTCCTGGTTCCAGGAACACGTGGAGAGCATCAACCCGGATGCTCGCCGTGTCCTCGAGAGTTACAGCGGACTGAGCCCCGACGAAGTCATTCGGCACGTCTTAGCCGTGGTGCGTAGCCCCTCTATCTCCATGACACAGCCCCTCGCCCCTCGCCCCTCGCCCCTCCTAACCCACCTAACCATATTCCCCGCAAACAGCGCAATGAAGCCTTCGAAGTATACCAATACGCCTGCATCGGGCAAATGCGCTTCCTCTCCTTCAACCTGCAGCATCTCCCCTTCTACCCCCAGATCCTAGAGCACCTGCGCACCAACCCGACCGCCGGCTTCCTCGACGCGGGGTGCTGCTTCGCCCAGGAGTTGCGCTTCCTCGCCGACCAAGGTATCCCGACCACGCAGCTGTACGGGTGCGACTTGGAGCAGATCTTCATCGAGCTGGGGTACCAGCTCTTCCGAGACCAGGATCGCTTCGCAGCGACCTTCGCCGTTGGCGATCTCGCGGCCCCCGGCACCGAGGCGTTTGAGGCCGGAGACATCGCCCGCACCCTGCAGGGCCGGATCTCGGTCGTCTTTGCGAGCTCGCTCTTCCACATGTGGAATTACGAGGTGCAGCTGCGGGTGGCGATCAGGTTGGTGCGGTTGTGTCGCGAGGCAACGGACACGGGCACGGGCACGGGAACGGGGACGATCATCGCCGGCCGGCAGATGGGCAGCACGCTGGCGGGCGAGCATGCGATGACGGGGATGACCAAGGACCCGACGGCGACGCACTACCGACACAACGTCGAGTCAATCAAGGGGTTCTGGTCCGATGTCGGGCGGGCCACGGGCACGCGCTGGACGGTCGAGGCGGGGCTGTACATGGCGGAGGAGATCGAGCAGAATCGAAATGCCCCGTTCGCGGATGCCAATCTGCGGATGTTGTGGTGGTGTGCTACGCGGCTTGACTAGTTTCACACCGTGTCTAGGGAGCAGTGTGGTGGAAGAGCAATGTACTTCGCAAGGGTAGGTAGCTGTACCCAGTATATACATGATCAAACCCAAAGGAAGGGAGAGAACAGCTATCGCACATCTACATCCACCTTCACCATTATCTGATGGGCCCCCACAGCATCGCTAGCTGAACCTCCTTCCCACCGCCCCTCTTGTTTCGTGGCGCAGCTGGTCGTCGCGGTGGCGTAATGCAGCTGCTCGGTGCTAGCCGTCCGAACCCCACCCACACCACCGGTTTCGTGGGTGGTGATGGTAGAGAAGTGCGTCTTGGTCAGACTGCGCCCCGTCTTCGAGGCGGCGGCGCCGTCATACATCTCGTAGCCGTCGGTGTGGTGCTGGCTCTTGGTCCGCGCCATGCGCAGAACCGAGGCGATGGGCACCGCGCACGTGCAGACGATGGCCAGGTTCAGCTCCACCACGCACAGCACCTCGAAGGCGACCGTGTTGTACGTCGCGTCGGATTGCACGTCTGTGCCAACTTCTAGGACGAGGACGCGGGCGAGGGCACTGGCTGAGGCTCTATTCAACGTGCTCAGGTTAGATAAGGAGTAGATGGATATCAGACGGGAGAGAGGGAGAGACACGTACGCAACACCGACCGAGAAGACCGCGGCCAGCCCGATCTTTCGGGTGAGGCGCATCTGCAGGGTCGTCACCGTGATGACCGGGAGCAGGAGGATGGTCACGTCGGAGAGGATGTTCAGGATCAGCGGGACACCGATGACGTTGGTGCTGTGCGGGCACGACCCATGTGTGATCGTGGAATGCGGGTCGACGCGCTCCCAGTAATAGCGCGCGGGAAGACACTGCAGGATGTAGAAGATTGTTGACCCGGCCACCCACAGCGTGACGTAGATGAGGTTCGCCCACCAGGCGATGCGGATCCAGCGCTGGTTGATGATGAACAGCCGGCGGTAGTAGAGGAGGAGGGCGAGTTTGGTGGCGAAGAGCGAGGGACCGTTGAAGACGGCGGTGATCCAGAAGCTCTACCATCACCCGATCTGGAGTGTTAGGAAGTGGCGTCGAAGATACCAGGGGAGATTTCGGATGGAATATGGCAATTTTGGCTCACGAGAAAGATATTGCGCAGGTGCCCCATGGACAGATCCTCCATTTCCACCCGCCAGACGTGCAACCCGAACCCGTTGTACCAGGCCACCAGCAAGGCAGCCGACACGACGTTGGCGAACAATAGGGCCACGACGAGACAGTAATCCTCCGGCAGCACTCGCTTCTGGATGCGCCACTGCGCCCAGAACCGCATCGGGACGGACAGATTGCCCAGCGCCAGCATCGTGATCACCACCCCAAGGATGGCGGGCTGTCGGGACTGATCCCACGCCGCCTCCTGCGCGGCGGTCAGTTGCAACGAAGCGGCCATAATGTAGTCAGTGTCAGTCAAGCAGTCAGAGCAAGAGTAACACTGCAGGCCCAGTGGCCAGTGGCCAACAATCAGCCGGGAGAGGCTTTCATTTTATTCAGCAAGCGGCTTGAGGGATGCAAGATCTGGCCCCCTGCAGGGAGCAAGCGTCCTAGAGACGGAGTGCGGTAGACATGGGTGTTGGGGTGGGCGATGCTGCAGCATGTCCGGTCCCGTCAGCCTGACGAGTCCGGAAAGGACAAGGGCACTCTATCCCGGCACCTGCACCTGCACCTGCACCTGCACCTGCAACTGCAGCGGCACTGGCGCTGGCACAAGTGGTGGACGAGATGAGCCGAGACGAGCGTAAGCACCAGCCAAGCGACAGGGATCGTGGACGGGCAGGCTGGCAAGTCCGACGTGGCGGGGTTCGGTGTTTTGGCGAGAATTAAGACTCTAAGACTCTTAACCGCACGGCCCGGCCCCTTATCGAGGCTTACTCGGCTTTGCTCGTGGGCTGACTGGAGGGGTCAATTGGGGGCCAAAGCGTTCCATTGGCCGTGGTGGAATACTGATATCCACTTTGCTGTTGATTGCTAGTAGTTCCACTGGGTTTGAATTAGAATTCAGATCGGTGGATTTGCGTGACAGGATGGAGATGTCTCGGAGGGGAAGAGTTAAACGAACATCGTACGTTCCTGTGGTGAGGAGTTGTTTGAGTTTGAGTTTGACAGGATAGCACTGGAAATTACTCCGTAGACAATAGATAATCATAATTTGCCTAGAAGGAGTGAATCCCCGAGGAAGAATTAAGACATTTGCTTCTGCTGGGGGCTGGCAGGCTAAAGTAGGGCTAGCGAGGCTAGCCCCAACGCCATGCAGGTTGCTAATGCATTCCCCACTCACACTATGGATGATGGTTAAATTATTACTCCAAGGGTGCGTGGAAAGTCACCGGGCGCAAGCGAAGCAATGCCATCCCTTCTCGCTTCTCTAATGATTAGATTATTGTCCAATCGTACAGTACAAAAATACCACAGTCAGACCACCCACACCCCTCACCGGCAATCATACTGCCACCATCAACGCACCCACCACCACCACCACACTCATCAGATAAGAACCACTCTGACCCACCTTGGTAGCCGCCCCCTCCTGGGTGCTGCTGCTGGTCGCTGCGCTCCCCGTGGCCGTGCTGTTGGCAGTGGTCGTGGTGCTGGCACCCGAGCTCGTCGCAGTCGAGTTACTCTCTGCAGCCTCCCGGAAGTAATTGGCCGCGACGGGCGCCCCCAAAGCCGCCTCCTTGATGAACTGTACCAGCGGGAAGTTGACCCGGTTGTAGGGGGTCTGCGATGTAGTCGCCAGGTAGGGCGAAAACTGCTTGGCCACGGTGAAGTTGGCGGGCTGCTCGAACAGCAAGAAAGTGTAATTGTGCGCCGCCCCCGCCGTGGGCTCCGGGTAGAAGTACGTGCAGATCGCGTCCTCGGTGCTCGTGTTGCCGCTCGTGGTCAGGTTGACGACCATCGTGTGCATGCCCACGTACAGCGGGTTGGTCTTGTTGATGTCCGGGTCGACCATCATGAAGAGGTAGGGTCCGCTGCCGCTGAGGGTGGTCTCGTTCAGATGCACGGTGGGCGCATTGTGTGTGACTGACAAGTCGTTACTTTCAACTTCCATGCGCAATGGTGTCCATAAGGGAGAGAAAGCTTACCGGAGGAGTTCAGGTTCACGCCGGGGGTGACTTTCACGGCCGTGGACCCAACAGCATACGAGACACTCAGAATCTCCGACGGGTCTCCAACCGTAGCTAGTTCGTCCGGCACGGTTTGCACCGAGGCTGCAATTGCGCAGGTTGTGGCCGCCAATGCGGACAAAAGGGATGAATAACGCATATTGAGGATGAAGTCGGAGAGTCTGTCAGGCGTCGCAAGGGGTAACTGAATTTGTGGGTGCTTGTGGAATCAAATATAATGGGATATCGCTCGGCCCTCCGCTCCGATCTCCTAACGGCCGCTGCGTTAGACGCAGGGCGGGCGTGGATACGGACTGGGGCATGTTCGCGTGTCACCGGTTTCAGAACCCCGATTCTCCACTCTTGGCTTGTCGGGGAGATTGTGGGCGTCAGGAACGGTGCGCCACTACTATGGAATACCGGGGCATTTGCCTACAACAGGTCTGTAGTTCCACCTCCGTCTCCGATGGATGTTTCCATGGATGGAGTCCTAGTCTCGGTCTCATCTAGTCCGGTGTATTCTGGCCGGAGTGAAATTGGAAGCCCTCTCTCGCGAGGAACTAACTCCTATCCCGCGTGATCCCTGTAAGCACTTACGACAATAGCGCCCATCAGCTCGAGACCGAAACATTTGAACGGAATAGATTGCATGAGGAGGTAATTTGGATTGGTAAATTAGGGAATGCCGACCATAGAGCCTTTGTTTACCAATTGGTGGAGCGGGCAATCTTGTTTAAGCGATCTGGGATGGAGAGATCCATAATGAAACTAATACAAACATCCACATATTCTCTCTGAGGCACGTTACGTGGGAACTAAGCAGTTTCGAAGCAAATACTACTTAGAGGTGGAGCGAAAGCACCGAGAAATCTACAGTGGTTTCAAGCGGAATTGCAACAAGAGTCGTTTTAGAAGTAATGTCGCGCAGACCGGGTAGGAGATGATAAATACTTCTAGGGTTGATAGGGTGACTATGCATGGATATGTGCAACTTGATGCTGAGAGGCACAATATAGCAATGAGAAAAAAGCAAGAAGAAACCAAAAAAAAAAAAAAAAACAAATAAGCCTCTAACAAACCGACCTCAAGAGAAAACTGCCGATTCATATTATAATTTGGAAAAATAAGCATGCAAATCATCGACCGCAGCAGTCGCCCTCGCCAGCTGCGCCCTTGGAGTGGCCGCCCCGATATGCGGCGTGCTGATGACGTTCAGATTCTCCCAGAGCGCCCCATGCTTCTCCTGACTTGGAGGCTCCTGCTCGTGGCAGTCCAGCCCTGCCCCCAAAGGTGACCTTCGGATAGAGCCCGCTCGAGCCCTGCCTCCCCGCGCCGTGTTGATGAGGATGGCATCCGGCTTCATCCGCTTGATCTCCGCATAGAAAAGCATCCTACGCGTCTCCTCCGTCAGCGGCACACGTAGCGACAGCACATCCTCGTGTGTGATCACCTCCTCGACGGAACCGCTCGTCGGGGGACAGCGCCAGGCCGTTCGGGGAGACGCCGTTGGCGATTAGGCAGTCGAGCCTGCCCCCGGGGGTGAGGCGATACACGCAGCCGGTGGGGTCGGAGAGGCCTGTCTGGTCTTGGTCCGTGAAGTAGAGGTCGCCCGTCGAGGAGATGGTGAGGTCGTTGGGGCTATTGAAGCGCTCCAAGTTGCGGCGGGGCAGGAAAGGGCCAATTTTGTTGGTGGCGGGATCGAAGAGTAGCACGCCCTGTGGTTCCATCCTTTAGTTAGTGGTCGAGAGATGCAGTGGATGCACGCATTGCACGAGGGTGAGGGGGTCATACCTGCTTGTAATCCGCCAACACGATACACCCGTCCTCACGCACCACTAGCCCGTTGGCCTCGCCGTCCTACCGGACACATTCGCTCACGTTTTTGTCACCATCCACCGGCAGGATCCGGCCGGGATTTCTTCGACAAGACATGTCAAGCCGTGGGATGCAACAGGGGTGGGAATCAGGGTTGGGGTAAGCTGGGGAAATATGGGGAGAACAATGGTACGATGGAGAAAATCTATATCTCCCATGCGTCCGTGGAAAGATGAAGCTGAGCAAGAGTTTGTAGACAGTAACCATCACGATGGGACTCATTGCAGACGCGAGGAAAGCCATGCAAGATGCCCCAAAAGGCACATTCAACTGCCATATTCTGTTTTGTACATGCGTATGCGCTCTCGCAGGTGTGTCAATGGGGTTTGATGAGGGTAGGTGGTATTCTTCACCTAGATATTGCTTCACCTACAGAGTCTGGAACGCTGACTTGTCCTGTCCATGCCAAGAAACATCGCTTCTCTAGTCTCGCAATCTCACTTCAAGGCTCGATTTGGTCTTGACACGCAGAGTCCAACCCAGTACTCCAGTACCAAAGGCTGGATCGTCTCGATCGCCACGGCCGGTGCTGTCTTCGGATGCCTTGGGGTAAGAACAACCTTGAAACAGTGCTCGCCCAAGGGCAGCGGTCAGGGAGTGGAATATATTGCTGCTTTTTGGCTTGCTTCTGGTCCCCACAACGGCGATTGTCTGTTTAATCAGGCATCGAGACACAGACAGTCCATCCAATTCATGAAGCTATTCCCGCAAAGATCCACCCAGCCAAACCACCAAGAAACAAAAAACAAAAAACGACAACAGTCGGATTTGAACCGACGCCTCCGAAGAGAATAGATTTCTAGTCTATCGCCTTAGACCGCTCGGCCATATTGTCTTTTGTTGAAAAGGAATCTAAACTGTATATCTATGTTCCAAAAACTGCAGCAGCTTGAAACAAACGAATCAAGGCAGAATCCAAAATAACGACCGCGAACACAACGCAAAATTCCCCTACCCAACACCCCTAAACCCTATCATACAGCCGGTCCATCTCGGCGACAGTCTTTCCGCGATCGAGAATCTGGCTCGGATGGTACGCCACGAAAATCCCCATCATGATCAGCATAAGCGCCGCGTCGAAGACATAAGCGTACGCCTCATGGCTCTGCAGCGACCCCGTCGACCCCTGCGCATACTCGACGACGCGATAGAGACACCGAATCAGAATCAGCCCGCTGGCCGCGTACAGCACCCACAAGTATCTCCTCCACGGGACGCTCAACGTCATCGCAGTCGACGTCGGGTTCGCGGTGATGCGCCGGTGGAAGACGACGGCGACGGTGACGAAGAAGCCGAAGAAGAGGATCTGCACGACCAGGCCGACGATGATCACGTTCTCGCCCAGCTTGAGCGTGCTGCTGGTCTTGGCGCTGGAGAGGATGCCACCGCCTGCGACACGGTCAGTTTTGGATCTGCAATATTGTCTGGGTGGTGCATCGTACCGCCGCACTGCATCAGAAAGGCGAGCACGTCCCCAAGGACGAAGATCTTGGTCATCCAGCGCGCGCGGATCAGACTCCGCGAGTCGCCGTCAGTTAGGGTGACGATGCGGCCCAGGATCATGTAGATGGAGGCGGCGAAGAGCGACGGGGCGATCAAGATGAACAGGCTCTGCAGTGCGTAGGGCATGACGGTGTAGTTCGGTTTCTGGTGGGCGCTCACGGCCCGCGCGACGTACCCGATGGTTTCGACTGTCGCGATTGGATTAGCTGAGGGTTGAGTCGGATAGAAGAACCGCAGCTCATACTTAGACCGCCGATCACAAAGGCAGTGAAGAAATATGCGCGCTTTCGGATCAGTAACCAGAGGTGGTACGCGGTGGCACCGAGGAATAGGAAAAGCGCCAGCAGGGCGCACGTCACAGACGGCGTATAAGCATAGAGGGTTGTTTCCGCCATTGGGAATTGTTTTATGGACGTGTGAATGTAAGGTTGGATTGAAGCCTCTGTCTAACACCCATCGTCGAGATAGATGGATATATATATGTCCACTCTGAATACCAACTTTTGCATCCAAATTTGCGAGTACGCAGGCAGCAGTGTATAGATCTACAGAAAAAACTCTAAAATTATCTAAGAATAATACCACCGAAAGATCAAAGACGAAACAGTCTGTGGTCCAGTGCGTGTTTTTGGGAAAAAGAGCTATAGTTAACCGACATCGTGGCTCTAGACCGTCTGGTGCGAATACGAAGCCGAACCCGAGCTCGAGATCACTCCTCGGAGATAAGATAATCGGGTCGAGGCATGCACTGTAACTATGTATCTACGCTTCCGTATTCGTGCTCGAACTCGCTTCGATTGCCCTGGTTCCATTCTTCGAAACTTTGAAGTTTGATGTTCAACGGTTTTCTCGTCTGCCTAAATATATTCATCACCAGCGCACTCCTGATGAAGACATAGGCTGGTCCGGACGCGGGTGGCAATAGAGGTCGATGGTAACGTTAATCGGAAAAGAAGAAAAGAAAGAAAAAAAGAAAAGGAAATGGACCATGTAGGATCTTCGACGCCGCTCAAGACTCCGTGCCTCTGAAGATGGCGTTCAGGAAAAGACCAGATAATTTCTACCTAGGGTATGGATACGATGCACTTCTTGCAAGGGGTATGTATATAAACTGGGAAGCCGCGCTAGTTCTCCCATCCTTTCGACTTTTTGTTTCCCAACATGACTTTACACCGAGCCATTCAGCGACATGAGATCTTGCTAACCGGTTTAGGTACGAAACATGCGGCCAACTCGAAAATCAAATCCTTCGGATTCTTTGGGGAGGCGTACATCGCTTGTGAATGAGCATTCAAGCACCCAACCGCCGAGGGATTACTTCGCCCTGGTCAGCCCTCTCACGATGTGCAGCAGCGTGACCCCTACCGGATAACTAGACTCCTTCGGCAACTACACTAGCAGGAAGTTGAAAAGACGGGCTTGAAAGATGGCATTGGGATATAGCAGAAGGCTGGCAAAGAAGAAGGGCGAGAGCGGTACCTGGTAACATCGACTTGGTAGCATGAGGGATTGTTTTCACCATTCTGCCTCCACGATCTTCATCTACATGGCAAGGGGATCGGTCATCATGTGCCATCAAATTCTGATGACAGCGGGTGGCTGGACCCTCCATATGAGAAGGACATCGTCCTCCTGGTACTCTGAGTGAATATCGCAACCAGAAGCCAAACCAATATATACGGCCTCTTCCCAACTGCGAAGATCATAAGAACAGATCTCTCCTCGTCACACTCCATCTCTCGCACACATAACGGTCATCATAAGCCAGCTCAATATCAAACTCTTCCTCTACTCTACAACTTCCCACCACCTCCACATCCCACTCACCGAGATCAACATCACTCATCATAATCAAAGCAGAGCCTCGACGCAGCCACCACAATGACCCAGATCTACATCCTCATCAACCAGCTCGCAGTCCTCGTGTTCACCCTCATCATGACCACCAACCTCGCCCCGCCGATCAAACGCTATCTCACTGCCATCACCGACTCCTCGCCCCTCGCCGCGGGCGTCCTCCTCTACTGCAGCGTGTCTTACCTGACCAACCACGGCCGCTGTGGCCTGCTCGTGTCCACCTACTTTGCACAGCTCTAATCGACCATCGCGACCGACTACCTGTGGAACCTCCTGTTCTGGAAGACCCTCCCTGCGAATGGAATGTGGGCCCGAGCACTGAAAGACGAGCTTTCCATGCGCAAGGGTCTGTGTATCTGCGAGGAGGCGGCGACAATGATCCAAGAACTTTTCGATCCATACGCGCGAGTGCTGCTGGTGTGCGAGTGGATGGGGCTGCTTTCCGTGGGGATCTATTCGACGGTCTTTGCGGGGAAGGCGGTTTGGCGGCTTCTCGGATGAGAAGGGGATACAGAATGAGGCTCAGAGGGGCGTGACTGGATCAACTGAGTTCGAAGGGGTGATATCAAAGGGATGGAGCGATGTATTTTGTTTATGTTATGGTGAGACGCGAGCAATGCAGTCGAGACACGCTGGCAGATGAAGGAGTCCGGGCCTGGCACTGGGCGTGACCATTTGTCATTCCATATGTTTTATTCGGCTTGCATGCTAATATGGCAGTTATTCTTACTTTGATGTAACCAACTAACCAGAATGAGACTGCATTTCTAAGCAATGGAGTTTATGGAGATGAGACAGACACCCTCGGGTTTTGGAACGGGGTTAACTCCGACGACAAGGCTCGCGGGTTTTGCCCGATCAGGACAAACTCGGTTGCATCTATCAGAACCTTAGATCCGATGCTATCCCCGATGGCTACTTGGATTATATCATGGCATTCGCGAGTTTCTCCTGTCTGGGTTTAGTGTCTTAGTTCTATACAATCTCACAGCGTCAAATTCCTACCACGAAGCCGAAGCATGAATATAAATACAGCTCGTCGTTCCATCGACATGCACTCCAACGACAGTTACCAAGGCACTCACAAAGCAAAGACGAAACAAAGACAAATCTCCAAGATGACCACTCCTGCCAACCTCCGCAAGATGCAAGACCATGCCCTGATCGGCCAAGCCGCGAAGATCGCCGTCCCCGCCCCCGAGCAAACCATCTCCATCAGCCCGGTGATCCTCCCGGCCCCAAACCGCATCATCGACCTGCACATGCGCATCACCGCCCCAACCACAGGCGACACTCCGCTGCCCATCATCCTCCTCTCGCACGGCCACGGCCACTCGAACCACCTCTCCTCGCTGAACGGCTACGGCCCACTGGCCCACTTCTGGGCCGCTCGGGGCTTCATCGTCCTGCAACCGACCCACCTAAGCTCCAAGTCCCTCAGCCTCGACACCTCAGTCGAGGGCGCTCCCTTGTTCTGGCGCTCTCGCGTGGGAGACATGAAACTCATCCTCGACCACCTCGCCCTCATCGAGGACCTCGTCCCCCTCCTGAAGGGCAGACTGGACCACACCCGCATCGCGGTAGCAGGCCACTCGATGGGCTCGCACACGGCCGCCATGCTCCTGGGGATGCAGCTGACGGACCCGGCTAACGACAGCACGGTCGACCTCTTCGACCCGCGCATCAAAGCAGGGATCCTGCTCACGCCCATCGGGAACGGCGGCGACGCGCTCAGCCCTCAGGCATACGAGATGTACCCCTTCCTGCGCCAGCCGGACTTCGCGACGATGCGCACCCCGGCGCTGGTGGCGGTTGGGGACGTCGACGCGTCGCCGCATTTGACCGTGCGTGGGCCTGAGTGGCATGCCGATGCGTATGTGCATAGTCCCGCGCCGAAGAGTCTGTTGACGATTGCGGGGGCCACGCATGGGTTGGGCGGGATTGCTGGGTATGATGCTAAGGAGACGACGGACGAGAGCGTGGAGTTGGTGGGCGTGGTGCAGCGGGTGACGTGGGCGTATCTGCGGGCGAGGCTGTGCGGGGACGAGGAGGTCTGGGAGGAGGCGGTTAGGGCTGTCGGGGGTGAGCTCAGGGGGTTGGCGAGGGTGGAGTCGAAGTGAGGGGGAGGTGGGTGTGGTAGCGTCAAGCGGTACAGTACAGTACCTGGGTGGTAGTGATATGTGCATATCGATTATGGGAGTACCTAGTAGTTGTGATGTGTTAGGAGATGGTGTTATTGCTGATCTGGTCTGACTTTGGAACTCTCTGATTGTAGTCTGGATTTGACCTGCAAGTCTACAAGGTGAACGGACAGCAGACCCTATGTAGTGGATGTGTGATTATCCAAAGAACAGGAATTGGTATGGGTATTTGTGCATTCGAATGATCCTACTAAGCCCTCTCCCAGCATTAAACAACCCCCCTCATTCCCGATCTGCAGGAAGCAAGCATCCTTGAGATAATCCCCACCACAAAACTACCGACAAGACATCACCCCTCCCTTCCGCCCATACCGCGCCGCCAGAAACGACTTATGCACCTCGGCCACATTCACCTTCGACAACCCGCCCATCAGCCGCTGCACCGCCAGCTGCGCCGACCGCACACTGTACTCGGTCATCAGCGCCGTCTCCTCAGGGATCTCCACGTACTGCCCCACGAGCGCCAGATTCCCCAGATCCGACGGGATGATATCCGGCCGATCGCCGGGGTCGCGTTTGAGGAGTGGCGACAATCCCAGCGGGAGGACGTAAGGCACAGTCCTGGCTTTAGAAATAATCTGAGCAGGTGGAATGTTGAGACTGCTCAAGACCTCGGCGAGAATCTCGTCGCCGCTGCATGCCGGCATGGGTTTGTTGATGTGGTGGCCCGGTGCGTCCGGGGTGAAGCCGTAGCCTAGGATAGAGCGGGTGGAGTCATCTCCCTCGTGCTGCTCCTGCTGGGGAAAGACGAGTTTCAAGGACCAGTTGCTTTCTGCGATGGTGGCATCAGCGGCGGGATGGGTGCCCAGGACGCGGTGGTGGAGGACGTTGAACTCGGCTTGCGGCAGGTGGATGACGAACATCCCCAGGCGGGACTCCGGGAGATGGGTGCAGAAGGAGGCTGGGTTGCCGCACTGCGACGATTTCTTGGCGAGGGCAGACCATAGCGCCCAGCTGGGATCGTCGAGCAGGCTTTGCGTACTGGTGGAGAGGGCGGGTGGAGGGCTGGCCGGGGTGCCGGTCGCGATGCCTGAGGCGGCGGAGCCGAGCGTCACGATGAGGATGTCCTCTGCGCGCACGGGTAAGACCATGGGATGTCCGCAGGGGTCAATCGCCTGAATGCCGCTGGCGGCGTGGGGGTAGCTGTCCGGGTGGAAGTTGATGTCGGTGACGTGGAGGTTGTGAAACTCCACACCCTGGTTGCGAAGGTAGGCTCGCAGCGGCTGGAGGACAGTCTTCCGCAGGGACAGTTGCAGTGGGTCAGCGATCTGGATGCTGTTGCCGATGACCTCGTCCAGGTATTTGCTGATGTACCGATGGAATTCGACGGCGGAGTGCGAGGGTCGCAGGCCGAAACTGAAGCCCGACATCACCCCCTTTAGCATCGGGTTCTCCAGCGGAGAAAGGATGCATCAGGGACAGGCGGGGTTGGGTTTACCTTGACGAGAATAGCCTCCAGAAGTAGGTATCGAAGAATGATTCATCGAACACCAGCTGGATGCTCATCCCTTCGTATGCTTCCTCATCCTGCAGGAGGAAGTGGAGGATGTCCTTGCGGTTCTTGCGCCAGACCTGTTTGCGGCCGAGATGGGCGAGGAAGTTGATGGGCTCCGACATGAAGGCCTCGGTGCGGTCTCTGGTGCATGTTGCAAGGGATTCGTCATGGTGGAAGACGGGGACGTCGAGGGGGTGAGGCTGATGCGGTTCATGGGCTGAGGCGCACGACAGGTCCTGACAGTGACTCGTACTCGACGTGATCAACCGCCTGCGTGTCGACTTGTTATTTCGGATCGTGCCAGTAGGCGATCGCTGGCCTTTTGAGTCCAGGATACAGATTCGATTGCCGGGGACCTTGGCTTCATTTATCAAACAAGAGGCAGCAACCAGGGACTCGACCCCACCACCTATCAACCACACTGTATGTGGTCGATGATTCTGAGTGGTCATGGTGGTGTACGCAGAACATGTGAGCTGTGGGAAATGATCTCCTGCTTGCCAACCGAGCCTGGGGATTGGCAGGGCCAGATTTATACATCTCAGCTCTGGGGAGGGGCCTCGTGATGGGTGAGTCAGGGCAGTCAGCTCCCCTACTTGTGAAGGCAGATCTGGAGCCCTGGTTGAGCAGAATAAGGCGTGGGCCGTCGCGGACACAGCCCAGACATTGGCCAGAACTGCCTGGGCCTTTGCATTCCTCTCGTCTCCAAATCAGCTCCACTGAGATCGTGTTGGGAACCGTTGCAAAACCGAGTCTCGCTCACGGAAAGTGAGAAGCGGTGAATGGGGTTGCGGCTTTGTAGTGGGGGGTCGCGTGACGGGCCAATGTATGGATGCGGCGAACCCAAACCATAAAACCCCGCGTATTGCACCCATGGCTACAGTCCATTTCCAGTAAAAAGCTGGAGCCTCAGCGTGATCTCCCCCTCCTTGCACCCCGTATATCACATGAGAATGATGAGCAGGACCCGGGGTCGGGTTGCTTCCCGAATATCAAGTCCCCCACCCCCAGCCTTCAGATCACTCACTATATTATTGATTGTTGGCTCGTAAAGTAGACAATGAATCGTACTCGACTTCTGTCGCAGGCTCCAGTTTTACGATCAAGATGAACGGCCGTGCTTCGCGAATACCTTCTCATGCAAAAGGTCGTCAAATTCCTACTCATGAACCATGTCACCGCCCATCGTACAATTACCAGCCACCAGCCCCAGTCCCAGCCCCAGCCCTAGCTCGCCGCCTTTGAAAGCCCCAGCCTGGATCCACGCCGAGTATGGAACCCTCCCGCCCAAGCAGGACGAGCTCCCACTGTATCTCTGCATTCTGTACATCATCGTCCTTTCGATCACGGTCTTCATGCTGTAAGTCATGCCTCGTTAGCTGAGTCCTCACGGCCACGCTGATTGCCACCAGGGTCATCGTCAAGCGACGCTATGAGGCAGACTTTACCCCCCCCAACACTGCTTTCGAGCCCATCCTCCCGTACACGAGTCGCAACTCGGAGGAACGACGGCTGCTCTACTTCCAGCAAAGCGTCGTGAAGGATCTCTACGGGGACTGGTGGGCTTCCATTCAGACGGAGCGGAGCAAGCTGATGGGGTATAACAACCCTGCTGTCTGGTAAGCGAGTGCCACGGATGTTTAGGATTGTCGCGTCTGCGATAGCAAGGCAAGCCACTGACGTCGTGTGTAGCCCCATCTGCCTGGAAGTCGTCACCAAGATGCAACTGATCTATCTGCTGCCATGCAAGCATGTCTTCCACGATCGCTGTCTGGATGGCTGGGTCATGAGCGGCAGGAACACATGCCCGCTATGTCTGGACATTATGGCGAGGTCCGGAAGGAAAGAGATCGTGTAAATAGTAGTGGATGGATATACCCCAGACGAGTTACAACAGAGCAGAGACAACGGGATTCTTGTATTGACTTGTACATATACATGGCTAAATGTCGGTATATCGACGCCAAGCATCACCAAACCCGACCGAGGAGCTATTTCCGCGTGTCTAAGGAGGTACTGTCCAAACTGCCAAACAGCCCATAGGGATCATATTGCTTTTTCAATTTCTGCAAGCGTGGTAGATCGTCCTCGCCAGAGTCTTCCAGTCCGAATTTTGGCCCTAAAAGAATTAGTATCGTACAGTAAATCAACCCCCGCGAGAAGGCACTGTGAAACGGTAGAACATACCACCATCCTGATGGTTTTTCGAAACCCCTTGCTGCCTCGACTTGGGGTATACCCTAAACACCAATTCAGTGGCAAGACCAAGCGCCCCTCCGGCCTGTTGCAGCGCCCAAAAGAGATCAGGCTTCTCCGTGCTCGACGTTGTGACAATACTCCCATCCGCCAGGACCATCTTGACACTCACTAGATTGTCGATAATCGGGCCAGGGCAACTCGTCAACCAGCCACTTCCTTCCAGCCCTCCATCACCTGTAGTATCGTCCCCGGTGGCCGAAACGACCGTGAGGCCAAACGCACCCGCAACGCCGACGAGATCCTCCCATCTCGCTCCTCCCTGAGCGGCCAGCGTGCGCGAGGCGGGGTCAACCACGACTTTCCCCATGCGCACCAGACTGATGACGATGCTCGCCTCTCCTTCCGGTGGGTTGGTCGTCGCGAAAGCTCCACCGTGGACGATAATCGGAATGTGGTGATGAGTCGCGTAGCGGAGCACGCGCGAAACCTCGTCGGTGGTCGTGGCTTGCACGATGGCGCCCTACCCCGGTCAATCATCACGCAGGTTGAGATTCAGCAGACGTACCGACTCGACCTCACTCAGCTCAAGACAACGAATGCGCTCCGCATAACCCGCATCCGCAGGCGTGTACACCTCCGCCCGGGTCTCCTGCAGCGTCGCTTTCAGCTCCAACGCGCGTCGGCACGAAAGACGGGTCATCTTGGCGATATCAGAACTACAGATACTCGGCTGGGTTGCTGCTGCTTGCTGCTACAGAGCTTAACCGCAAGCTTTCCTCCGGACAATGCCCACAGGATGTCGGAGGATTCCACCGAGCAGCGACCCCGCAAAAGAGGTGGTTCAGCGGTGGCGAAGTTTCCTTAAAGCCAGACGCTCTGACCCAACCTTATGCACTCGCGACCGAACAGTGGACCGTAGGGCATTACGAGCAGCGCAAAGTCTAACCCCGGTCGTTCCAGACCCATCGAGCAGACTCCGCATTTTGCCCGGGCTTCGGCTCCGAGGTTTGGAGTTGTGGCTTGGCAAAGGGTGGAAACAAAGGGATTCTCGTGTTTTGGCTGGTCTACCTCTTCTCCAACGACGCATGGTTCGGGTATTGTGTTGGGGGTGTTTTGAGCTACACTATCGGTTGACTTCAGGTTAGAATGTTCAATCTATAATCGCGTACCATCGATGCAATCATTAAGCGTATATTAATTCAACGAGGATCGCTAATCTTGCAGCGTGTGCATATCACCACGGGTATAGAATACATTGCCGACCGGCAAAGAGACCGTCGTTGAGTCTCGAATCCGAGTCCCAGTTCACGGCCAACACGAATGGTATATTTCCCAATTCTGCTCAGTGCCACATCCTGTAGCAGGCTTCACTGCATGGAATTGCACCCTACTCCCGACTATTCACAAGAGGCCTGATGCGGTGCCACTTGTCGAACGTATTGTGCGGGTCGTACTTCTTCTTGAGCTCCTGCAAGCGGGGGAAGTTGTCTCCGAACAGTATCTTGCTGGATGCGTCGTGGCCTATCGCCGGTTAGATCCTTACATCCAGTCACGAGCAGGTGGTCTTACCAGCATAGTTGGCATAGATGCCCGTCCCCCGTCTCGGCCCCTGGTACCCCGGCCGCTTGATCCCCGCCGTCTCCTCAATCCGGCCCAACAGATTGGCCTGCCACAACCGTAATTGCACATCCAGATCGGCATCGTACCACCGAAACAGACAACTAACGTTGTAGAATGGCCCGCGGTTGGCGAACGCCGTCGCATCGTCGGGGACCCGCATGATCTGCGCATTCGGCAGCAGCTCGAACAGCAGCCTGCTATCCCGGGTCTGCGGGCAGTTCGTGATCATCCCGTTGAACTCGTCGTACACCGACTGCACGAACCCCCGGTCCAGCGGGAGGGTGACGTTGCTCCCGAGCATGGACTTCCGGGGGCCCATGGCGACGTCCAGCGGGTAGCTGATGTTGACCTCGGTATCGCTCCCGCGGCGGTGCAGCGTGTCCGTTGTATTGAGGATGCCATTCAAACTGTCGTAGGGGATCATCCCCGCGGTGTTGGCGATCGGCTCCGCCTGCAACAGCGGCGCGAAGAATTTCTCCGCGCGTTCTTGGTCCCCATTGTAGAACACCACCACCAGGATACAGCACTGCGTCATGGCCGGCGCAACCGTGAATCCGAACCAAAGACCCTGCTTCCCGTCCGTCTGCTTCTCAAACCGATTGGCGAAATCGACCACGACCGGGAGTTTCTCCGGCGCGAAGAGCAGCGTGCCCGCGAAGACGGCATTGCGCTGGGGATGGGCGCGGAACCCCAACTCCACCGCGACGCCGAACTCCTGGCCAGCGCCGCGCAGCGCCCAGAAGAGGTCGGGATGGGATGTTTCGGAGGCGATCACGATGCTTCCATCGGCGAGGACCACCTTCGCCCACAGCAGGTTGTCGATCGCCAGCCCGTACTGGCCCGTCAGCCAGCCGTATCCGCCGCCGAGGGTCGCCCCCGCCGCGCCGATGTGGCTCAGCGTGCTGCCCACCACCGCCAGCCCGTGCTGCGCCGCCGCCACGTCGATGTCCGCCCACAGCGCCCCGCCCTCGGCGGCCACCACGCGGGCCTCGGGGTCGATGCGCACGCGCCGGAGTTTGGCCAGGTCGAGGACGATGCCCCCGCGCGCCGTCGAACTGCCGCTCGTCGAGTAGCCCCCGCCCCGGACGGCCAGGGGGATCTGGTGGCGCGTCGCGAACCGCACCACGATCGCTGCTTCCTCGGCGGAGGTCACTCGGACCACTGCGCCCTGCTTTCATCAGTTCTGGTGACTTTTTATCCCGGCTGGCAAGGAAGGGGAAGCAAGAAACTCACGACATCCTCATCGCACGAATCGCTCCATTGCTTGATATTGTCGCCGTAGCCCTCGCATCCCCACGTGGAAATCTCCGCCTTGGTGTCCTGGAGCTCGTCCCGTAGATGACGGACTTGTGAGAGTGGTAAAAACGGCATTATGTTGTGGTGTGTGTGTTGGGGGGGTGGTGTGGGTTTGAGATCGGGTAGATTTTACATGGTAGTCAATGCTGGAGATCGGGTATAATTATAGGGCGGAGAGTGACGGCCACCAGGCGGTGGAATGTGATGCGAATGAGGTCAGCGCCCAGACTTCACGGACGGGGGATCCGGCCAGTGTTCAATTGATGTTAGCTGCTCCTCGGCCGAAATCATGCTACTTTCGCGGTACTTCAGGTTCTTTCTTTCACTTACCTTATAAGTTAAGGATTACGAGAGAGGTGGTCTGATCGGACAAAGAGCTGGAGCGGAGCTGGGCTGTGCTGTGCTGTGCTGTGCTGTGGCTTGTGGGGGTGGCAAAGTACTAGGTAAACCGGGTTTCCCCGTTGTCCACTGGTTACTTTTGTTGAATCTTGGCTGGGACTTTTTCCCTTATTCCCTGACTCTCCCGATATGATGTAGTTTGTCCAATGTTGACATGCTGGCTCCACTTTTGATGTGCGATCCGCGCCGTTGTTGACTTCGTCATGATGATCCTGCAGAAAATAGGAAGAAAAAAAATAATAAGAAAACTTCAAGTAACAGTTTCCTTCGAGGAATCGATCCCCAATCCGACTGCTTTTCAGACCCAATGACATGGAATGAAGATCTCGAGAAGATCCTCTGTTGTTCATCACTGCGGTCAACAGAGGGTAACGCAACGCGACCGGCCGCTCACGCACGGACCACCTACAGCATCCCCAGACAACGGACAAAGCCAGACTGTCATGACGCTAGAGAATTTTGGTCTAGGCAAAGAGGTACAGTACAGGGCAGACATACGGAAAGCCTCCGTAGACGATGTTGCAGCTCTGTATTGAGATCTCTTTGCCTCATCGGAATGATATATTGATGAGAGCCCTATCTATACTTGTAGTACAAATGATCCGAAAGGGTAAGTAACATTTTCTATCTGTAAACGTTGTTGCAAGGTCCCAATTTTTATGATAACTACCAAAAAGTATCTCTAAACTTGCATAAGTATTGGATATATGTAGTATGTAAATTAGAGATATAGAACACCGTCAAGGCTGCGGAGCGGGAGTAGCTGAGATTCGGAGGTCTGAAAGACAACGAGTTAGTATTTGATAAAGAGGTTGTCTACCTGCCTGTGCTATCAACTTCCTAACCGATCATGTTGTTCTTTGACAAACGTTCCACTCGTTACTTCGCCATTGTGGGTGGTGTCACGGACACATACCTGCATTACTGTTAGTCCTTCAGAGCCTCTGACCTAGGGAAACTGACACACTGAGATCAATAGACACTTACCCAGCATAGTCCTCACCAACTCAGCCAGGGCACCCACAATGATCACAGATTCACATTAACTACCTTCATTATTCATACTATCTACATGTGTGAGATGCTACCACCGCACTGGAACCCAATACTTCCGCCAGCCCCCCTCCGTGTCGGCCTCCCGCCACCGCTCCACCCCGTCGGCCACCCCATCCTCCCCTACCGTCCAATCCCCCGCCCGGACCCGCTCCGCCCAGCTCTCCAGCACCTGGTGCAGCGGGGTGTCACGCAGGGGAATAAACCCATTGAACTCGCACTGGTACAGATCATAATTGGCGTCCGCCGGCTTCCCACCCCACCAGGCGGCGTCGCCCAAGCGCGTGCCGTCACTGCGGCGGGCCCAGCCGTGCCCTCCAACCCCAAACGGCAGCAGCAGACGGCAGCCGTTCTCGCAACTCTTGACATCGCGGTTGTCGGCCGTCAAATAAAGACCAGCGGGACGCGGGGGCGGGGATTGTCGGTTGCCAGCCCCAAAGCCGCTGAGCAGAGAGTTGAGCCTTGTATCTGGCTTGGGGACGGTCATGACGGTCTTCCCCGAGCCGTTGGCGTCGGGAGCGTCGGCGAGGAAGAGGAGGATGGGTTTGATGGGGCGGGCCACGGGCAGCCGACGCCAGAGGGCAGACTTGTACTCGGCGTCTCGGAAGGGTTGGGCGCGGAATTCCGCCTCGGTCGGGAGGCGCACTCCTGGTGCGATGTAGCGGAAGCGGACCGGGCGGGGGGTGGCCGTGCTGGTTGCCGTGCAATAGCGGTGGATGAAGCTGTTGGGCACCAGGCGGACTTCCGAACGCACGGCGGGGTCAGACCAGGGCAGGGAGGCGGAGGGAGACGATTCTGCTTTAGCCGAGTCGCTGCTGCTGGGTAACCGGATTTCAATCTCGTGAAGGAGGCTCTGAAAGGCTTGCACCGCTTTGTCGACATCGGCAGCGGTATATGTATGGATTCGCCACGGGCCAATCGTCTCGAACGAATCTTGACCCAGCTTATCGGTCCCAATATCTCCCAGGGCCCATTGTCCATTGACCTGCATCTCGACCTTGTTCTCCGTGATCATCTGCAGGTAGTCCGCATAAATGTCTTCGAGCGGTCGGAAGCCGTGGCCATAGTTGAGGATTGGGTGGGTGGATTCACGCCCCTCGGCAAAGACGGCTTTGCAGGTGATCTGATCGAATCTATGCATTCTGTTAACAACTCCCTGCTCGGCAGAAGTGGATCTATGCTCACATAATTCCCCATTCATCGCCATTGGCGTAGTTCCAGTGTGTGGCGCGATGTAGGTGGACGTAGCAATCTCTCCCATCGAAAATATCGTTGAAGTGCTCGTCAATCAAGGCGTCCGGAGTATTCAGGTTCTCTAGATAATAGAAGAACTCCGGAGCTGCGGGGTGGTAGTACGCACGCTGAAGAAACTTGACCAAGCTGGGATGGTACCGCACGGCGAGTTCATTGGAGGGTTGAAAATGCTCCCACCAGGTGGTGGGAGTTGCGGCCCAGGTGATCTGGAAGATGCGATTATGGAGTTCTGCACACAGTTCATAGTTAAATGGTCCTAGAGGGACTTTCTCCCATGAATTGCCGGACATGATTCGTGAAGGTTGGCACAAACTGAATTGTGACCAACGAGGGGTCGTTCCGAGGTTATATATTCATGTCTCGTACTAGTGGCAAGCAGAATACTGGTACTGGTACTGTACTGTACTGAGCGCCCTCCCGTCAGGGCTGCAGTGACCGTTGAAAGGGGCCCAGGGGGCCAGGTCGAAACCACTAAGGAAGCCACACCGCCGCCGATCTCATCCTAAGCATACTGTATTGTACCGTGCGTTACAACTTAATACAGCCCAGTTTATGACCCTCGGAGATGCACTCCATAGTCCTGACTTCTTACTATAGACAAGCTCCCGAGTAACAATTTCCAGCACCGCAATACTCCTCGCTACTGCCACAGTATCCTGCCACAGAGCAGCAGGATCCAAACTGCGTGCCGGTGCAGGTTTTGTTGCCTGCAAAATTGGGCCCACACTCGCCGTTGATGCTGGGTCCGCCGACATCTGCCTCACAGCTCCCTGAATAGCAGTTGCCCGCGCCGCAGAAATCACTGCCGCTGCCGCAGTAGCCGTAGATGGAACAACACCTGAGTCGAAATGTAGTTTGTGAGTTTGGAGGTTCCTATAGAGAAGCTCGATCGTAAAGGGAAACCTACGAGCCAAAGTTGGGATTCGTGCAGGTCATGTAACTGTGATCCGGACCACAGGTGCCGTCGATTGTGGCGCCGCTGGCTTCGTCGCAATCACCCGAGATACAGGTATCGGCGCCGCAGTATTCGAATGTACTACCGCACCAACCGTTGGAGTTGCAACAGCTGTTGAGGAGACATGGTTAGATACTTGAGTATCGGCTGCGGGTTTCAAAGCTTCTTGAACAAAGTTGGACGTACTCTCCAAAAGCAGTCCCTAGGCAGGTAGTCTGATTGAATGAAGGGCCACAGCGACCGTCGGTTGATAGAGGCGCTTTGGTGACCGGAGCGACACAGATGTCGTAGCCTAGCCAGAGGTTGCTGCACGTGTCCGTGATCTATCCCCTGGTTAGCGCATTTCAAGTCGAAGGACAAGGAGCTGGGATGGTTTGTACATCGACATTCAGTTGCTGAAGCTCGGCAAAGGTGAGGCCACTATGGTACCATTTGTTAGAAGTAGTGTAGATAAAGGGACCGGTGGCTGACTTACAATCGCAGAGCAATTGAATTGCACTAGTTGTGGAGCCCAAAGTTAGATCTCAAGACAGTTACATAGGTTTTACTGTTCGCAGCTGGCACGTACCGTATCGCCTGAGGCCACTTGGTAATAAAGACCGCAGTCGGCGGTTGCTCCGGGTTGAGTAGGCTCCGCAGGGGACGCTGTGATAGTTACTTTGTCAGCAGTCTGATGACGCAGTCGCAAATTGTAGAAAAAGGTTAAATCCACTGACGCACCAGTTGTATAGTATGATCCGGCGGTGGTGGGAGCGTAAATAATCGCGGTGGCGTTGAATCTACCTCCTGGCGGACTATTTGGGGTGTTTAGTGAGAAGATGTCACATACGCCTAGCGGTTATTCGCAGCTCACCTTTTACACACCCTCTGGCCAGTGTACAGAGATCCACATGAGCCCTGAATAAACGGATTCCAGCTCAAGAACTGAGTGACGGTCACTTCATTGTTGTCTGTAGAGTAGCGTGCAGCGAGATCCGCACTGTGCAGGAAATAGGTTCGATGGTTCGGATATTAGCCTTGCACTCCTCCGCGACGGATCGAACTCACCATGTCGGATTGAGGTAGACCGTATCCAGCTCGCATGGTAGGGGCAAACAGATTGGTTCCGTGAACTGACAACCGCTATTGTCGCCCGTGATATGGTATGCAGTGCCAGTGCTCACGTTATAAGTGTCCGTAAGATCGGGGCAGTAGAAGAGCTTCCTTGGCTGCACTAATTGGCCCAAGCACGAAGAAGAAGTAGCTGCAGTAGCTGTGGCCGCAGCACCAACCCCAGTCCCAGTGATAGTCTTTGTTGCGGTTGCAAGGAGTCTTGTGCTATATGTTGTGACTGGAAGAGAGACCGAGCAATTCTGCTGAATGTTGTCGTACTGGGATAAGAGGTATTGGCCAAATTCCCCACTCGGAAGATTCGGGGACATCAGGCGCTGCCTCCACATTTTGACAAAGCACTCGCTACAAACCTGGAATCTAGATTTAGGCAAGTGACTCTTGAAAGTAGTGGCATGTTCGATGAAGCGCAAAGTAACCTACAGTGGACTGGTCATACATGTTGGTAATCATCTTCATCTCCGACGTGAAGTTTCGAGTACTCCATGTTGGATCCAAGCAATGGGCTGGATTATCAGCGGCATCTGCGTTCTCACATGCATCTGGTGAGTATCTGGACATTCCCCATGTTAGTGGCGCCCCGCACTGCTGCAAATCAGAATCTACTCCCTTCATACCTAATGTAGTCTGCACCTTGCCATTTTTGAGACTCGAGATAGCACCAATCAGAAGAACTTCGATGTCCGCAATGTCAGAGATTCGATGCTCTTCACGGGAACGGAGATGAAGTACTACCTGGATTGCAAACAAACGAGATCGTATCCATCATTCCATAGAGTGGGTGTCATTTTAGCCAGCGTCATCAGACCTCCGGTGGTAATCATGGTTTGTCCATCGCATTGCGTGTCGACTGCCGACATCCAAGCCGTCAATGAATTGTGACATGCTGATGTGCACAAGTCCGTCAAGTTTTGCTGGTTCCAAGCTGGGAGAGTTGACTGTGATTAGCATCGAAGATACAAAGTTGTCCTGATGATGTGGAAGAACTCACAAAAGCTATCGGGCCCGGAGGCAGCGTTTATCGCCGTTTTCTTGTCGCAATTAAGGGTGGTGTTCCTGAATGTAGCCCGAATTAGTTCTATTCATTTGAGACAAGAAGCAAGAGGAGAACTTGGCATTGGTAAACGCACAGGGCTTGCATGCACTGTGTGGATATTCCTAGTGCGTCTGCGAGGTAAGAAGTCTCAAACGCAGCATAGAGAGAGAAGGAGGTGCCTTGTGCTAGTACCCCCAGGCCAAGCTGAAGGAATAGAGCCCAAGTGAGCAAATTCTGAGCTCTCGCCATGAGGATAGTGACGCTGCTTAGAAGGAAGAGAGCATGACAGTGTTGTCAGGCCCGGAGTCAGGAAGTTACGCTCTTATACAAGGTGCCGGATTTTGAAAAAGGGATAATTGTCTTCTCAATACTGCGCTTCCCGATGCTTATTAGCGCTGTCTGAAAATTCTACTCGCGTCATAAGGCGGGACTAGTATGGGATCCTTTCTGTACAGTCGGGGCTCAGGGATAGGATATTAAGGCATTTTCTCTTTGAGATAATTCCCACTTCGCTTAGTATGAAGACAATGGAACCGTAGCAAGCAACAATACAATGTATCTGGGGGGAAAAAGGGGGGGGGGGGGGGGCTTACAATTGCCACCGTCCAAGTCTGCTATGTATGTACTGAAGCTAAGGTCGGGTTGAGGGGCAGTTTTCAACTTCACTCATACCCGAGGGGGGAGAAAACTTCATGTAGTACTGGTAGTACAGTAAGTACGGATACATAGAGTATTATCGATAGTACTAGGTAGTAGATAGCCTGCGGAAGTCCGGACCCTGAGGTTAGCGTCTACGCTATTTCTATGATCAGGGTCTGGATTTGCTCTTTTAGACTGTCGCTAGGCCATACTAGCGCGCCAAGGCTGTATATACAAATAATACAGCTACGCATACAGTATGTAGCAGGATGTTGTTTTGAGTCCTCCGCCGCGCATTAGCGATGTGTAACGTGATGGTTATACGACCCACTCTTTAGCGTGATCTTAGCATACCTTCGTACCTGATCAAATGTTCAAGTTCCACGGACTTCGACGTGCCTACCGTGGCCAAGAACTCATTAAGCTCTACTAAAAAATCTGACCTTTATCTGGTAAGGGTTAGTTCATCCGAGTCAGCCGGAGCTCTTACCTCAAATGTGCATATTGACCACGGATGGGCTCATGAAACACCAATTTTGGGGCCATCGAAGCAATCACGTGAGGCGAAGCACAGGGGAAAAGGGACCATCTTGCCAGGCCCGGGCCGATACCCGATGTAACCCGGTGTAGTAACTACTAGGTACTGATCTAGTATCTCCTGGTCTTTCTGGCCACTAAGTAGTGAGTACTAGTATTGAAGAGTTTTCAGTCCGGTGCTCCGCCTGTCTAGTGCGTTATCTACGGTCATGGAGATGAAAACTCTTTTGAGATAGTACGCTGCGGTAATTTAAGCTATACTGAGCTTACTCTGTTAATGGGGAAAGGATGAATAGCATCGCATTAGAGGAAAAAAGGGGGTGTGGTTATCACCTTGGACCAGTTGAGAAGGTGGCACTATATATACCAATTTACCTTTAGGAATGAAGTATCCCAGAAATTATTCAGGCACGTTGGCAGAGCATAAAAGACGATCTACTGGGTCATGACTTGAAGCTCTGTTATCCCCCATCCCTTACCCATAGCATACTTACTTGGCGTCGTCGAATCACCATGCTATTGTGGCTTACCACAATTGCTACTGCCTTCACGGCAGCCCATGCGGCAGGTACCAACAATACCAGTTATCGTGCCCTATTTGCTATCCATTCCAACTCGACACCCATCTTCGAGAACATCACAGGTCAGAGTGTGAACCCCCTTGTCAAGGCTCTGCAGCCAGTCGGAGGTCTCTCCAAAAGCTCTACTTCTCTCCAACGCAGAGAGGACCTGCCCACGGGCACTTGTGCCCCGGGGACCCCGTGCGTGAACGGCGCCTGCTGCAGCAAGACCGGAATCTGCGGATACTCTCCCGATGAGTGTGGCACGGACGTATGTATCTCCAATTGCGACGCCAAGGCGGAATGTGGCGAGTACGGTGTGGCAGGCAACAATACCTGTCCAATCAATGTGTGCTGTTCGAAATTCGGGTTTTGCGGGACAACATCTGTAGGTGATATTCCCTTCATGTGAACTCGGTGGTTCCTCTAGGTCATGCTATCAGCTAATGCCGCGGAATCCCCAAGGACTTCTGCGATGCAGGATGCCAGGAAGGCTATGGTGGCTGTGGTGCCGTCACCGAGCCATCCTGCGGCGGCTCCAGTGCAAAGCAAAGAACCGTCGGCTACTACGAAGGATGGTATGCCCTAAGACACTTCCCAATACTCAATCGTGACTCGTTGAACTGTTACGGTTATGTTAATCACCAGTATTAGGTCCTCCATCCGCACCTGCGATAAACGCCTTCCGTCCGACCTCGACTTGACGGCACTGACTCACATAAATTTTGGTAGGCCACAGATCGAGTCTTTTGTGAAGCGGATCTGCAAGGGGAGCATGCTGATTGACTCCTCATCGCATAGCCTTCATTTACTTTGATCCCTCGACCTTTCAGATTGTTCCCATGAACTCAGGGGACGAGGCTTTGTACCCCCAATTCACAGGGTTGAAGAAGACAAAACCGTGAGTCGATACAGATGCCGATAATAAGTCGATGATGGGCTGGATCTAAGATATATTTCGATAGGGGGCTCAAAACGTGGGTGTCTCTTGGAGGCTGGAGTTTTAATGTAGGTGAAACCTCCTTCAACCTGCCCTTAAGGCGCCATGAACGATGCTGATGTTGACATTATTTAGGACGCCACAAACACCCCGAACACCCAAACAGCCTTCAGTGATATGGCTGCAAGTGCCGTCAATCGACGGACTTTCATCGCCTCAGTTATCTCTTTCATGCAGATTTGGGGTTTCGATGGGCTGGATATTGACTGGGAGGTAGGTCACCAATGAATGACTCGGTTTAGGCCATCTATCTCTCTAACATAGCAGCTGCTTAGTATCCAGGTGCCCCAGATCGGGGCGGCGTGACTGCCGATACCGAGAACTATGTTACGTTGCTGAAAGAGTTGAAAGCCGCCTTTGGAGCGCGGTATGGTTTGAGTGTGACTCTGCCCGCCTCCTATTGGTACCTCCGTTGGTTCGACCTTCAGGGCATCGAAGCCAACACTGATTTCCTCAATGTCATGACTTACGATATTCACGGGGTGTGGGACTCTTCTAACAAGTTCACCGGCCCCTATGTTCGGCCGCATACCAACCTGACTGAAATCGCAGACTCAATGGATCTCCTCTGGCGCAATGACGTCAGTCCGTCGAATGTGAACCTGGGCGTTGGCTGGTATGGTCGGTCCTTCACTTTGAAAGATCCGAGTTGTAATACTCCAGGCTGTGTGTTTAGTTATGGAGGCACGGCCGGTGAATGTACCAAATCTTCCGGGACACTTTCCAATGCGGAAATCCAACGGATCATCGCCGCGAACAACCTTGTGCCGACCTTCGACGAATTGGCGGCTGTCAAGTGGATAACCTGGAATACTGACCAATGGGTCAGCTATGATGATGGCGAATCAATGCAGCTCAAAATTCACTTTGCCAATAAACACTGTTTGGGCGGAACCCTAGTATGGTCGATGGATCAGGATGGCAGCGATCACATCAGTTCGAACGATTTCCTGGGCATTGGTACCGCGAATGGAGTCACAGCCGCCGACGCCGCAGCCTATAAAGAGATCCTCACCCAGGCAGACCATGCCGCCTCCAAACGGAACTCCTGCTACTGGACCTTCTGCGGCGGGGAGTGCGTGTCGGGCTATTTTACCCAGACTTACGCCACGGGACAGGTTCTGGGAGTGGATCGTGACAGTTCTTGCCCCAGTGGAGAGTTCAAGAAGCTCTGCTGTGCACCAGGGACAACCACAGGCACCTGCTCTTGGCATGGCTTTCGCGGAGTAGGCTTGTCCTGCGCCACGGGATATTGCCCCAATGGAACCGATCTTATCGCGTCGAATAGTGAGTTATCAGCGACGCCAGGGGCTCCTTGCCTTGCTTTAGAGCTATGCTTACACCACATTCTTCTGCTAGCCAACCAGTATGAGTGGGATACCGAAAGGAATAATTTCAATGACTGGACATGCAATGGTCAGTGAAGGTCTTAGGGTATTCCTAATCTTGGAAAGTGCCACTAACAAGAGTCCTATGTACCGATTCCACAGGCGGTTCGCAGTCATATTGCTGTTCAGACTTTGAACCATCACCCTATACCAACACGGACGCACTGAAACTGGTTGGTCAAGACCAAGAAGAATCTAGCAATAGTGCGAGCAGCAACAGTTTGCAGAAGCGGAAGGACTACAAGTACTTCGACTTCCAAAAGAACAGCCCTTTGTGCGAACAAAAGGCGGGTCATGCGCAGATCGACGCCCTACTCGGTGAGTGTTAAGCCCTCCTTATATTCCCAGAACCTTGGGACGGAATTGAGAGTGTGCGAACCTCAGGACAACCACAGGTCTGGAAAGCTCCGTATGGCTCCCAATTATGAACGATGAACTCTCACTGGCCGCCGAGTCTATCTATAAATGCATGGCCGACACAGAGGATGCAGCGGCTGACTATAATGCCGGCGTTGTTGCCAATATTGGTCAAGGAGCCATGGGACCGGGTATCGTCGAGGTGCCTCCAGTTTCTTTCATCGAAGTGCCCGCAAACCTGGTCAACAATGATGGAAGCTATGCACGAACACAGTATGGCAAGAAGGACAGGGACTGTACTTTGACTTATTACTGTCGGTATGGACTAGGATTCGATCAGATCTGCGACAATCAACGATGGGGGATCGACAAGGTCATGGGCGGAAAGACGGTGTATTACTACACTCCGCGCCCTGACGACACCTACAAAGACTCTTGGTTTAGATATCGGAACAAGGAATACCGCACACTATTAAAATCAATGGTCACGTCGGCGGGCCTGACGAGATACAATTGCGACGTGTAAGGTCACCAGAAAATTGTTCGGCTCTTCTCCAACTATTGACTGTGTTCTTGTGAACAGTGACGAATTTCCTCTAGGCTCACTCGGCAAAGACCAGGTCCAAGCTCTCCGCTACGTTGACGGTATCGAAAACGGACTGCAAGGCAAGGATTGGTCAGATTGGCTCCAGAGGGTCTACGCGCCCTGTAAAGCTTTGCGCATACAACGTGGGATTAATCCACCCGAGCCCCCGATTACCTGGAAATTCGGGCACGTCAGCGATAGCGACCCTCGAAACGCCGCCCGAACCGACGGTAATCACTTCATCCAGAAATATGGGTTCGACTCGCAGGTACCGGGCGGAGAGTGTTGGGCTGGTTTCACCTACATGTCCGACAACGTGAAGGTGTATCGTACTGTGCGAGACCATGGGTTCCGCGTCCACCCGGAAGATCCGTACGCTTCCCTCTTCAACTGTTTCTTCTTATGTTTCATTTGTGTTATGATAAGTCATTGGCTTACCAAGGAACATCTCTGCAGGTTGTTCAAAGAACCATACAACTGGCCGCGTCAGCCCTACGATTTCCCTCCAAGCTACCCGGACGTCCTTCCGGATAACATTGCCTCCGCCTCATGGTTGAAACGTGATGTCGCCAAGTCGGTGCTCCAGCGGGATCTCCCGGTCTCGGCCATTATCGAAACCGACGAAGCCCTGGAAGACCTGCTCCTGGAGGAGGCTGTCGCTGCCTCCTACTACTCGGCCATTCCTGCACCCCCGGATCCCACTAATGGGGCGGAGTTCTCTTCCAACCTGGCTGGGGCGGGGTCACACAGCGTTTCTCATCAGCGGCCGAGTCTTCCGACAGATGCCGCCGTGGAGACAGGTGCAGTCTCCCCCGCAACCGCTGCGACTACTCCAGCGGTGACACCGCGGGTGGAAGACGAAATGTGGGCGGACTGGACGAGAGGGCGGAAGAGGCATTTTGGGGAGCACGGTCATCAACATTGTGGGGGTCATCACTAGGTAGTCTTGCTTCGTCTGACTTCGGGAATTTTGAGTTTTGGAGACCATTAGAGCCCGGAGGGCAAGCTGGAATTAGACTGTACAAGTATTCTGATAATGAAAATCTGGCCTCTACCAACTACAACAGACGAGAAAGAACTTTGGATCTGTCATCTGAGTTATACAGCGATTTATACGGTGTGGGTAGTCAGCCGAGTGGGCAACAGAAAATCTCCCTTCCAAGACCGAACAAATTCGGGGAAAGACCAACTTAGTAGGGATAGACTCATACTATGAAGGTATCCAACTATGTGAACTTGAAGCTGGGTGCCGGCTCCACGGACCTTTATCACCACCCGATGGCCGTGACTCAGTAAAGTCAACTCTGGGAGCTAGGGCCTCGGCTTCAGCTACGTCCCTTATCTATTCATCCTTCTCCTTCGTCTCCTTCCCACCCTCGACTCGAGTCTGTGGATCACGCATCGCAATACAGTCCCTTATGCCATTCTGGATTTATATCTGGTATGCTGGTACCCGCCCATCAACCCGGCTTCACGCCCGACGTCGCGTCCAGCCCGCTACGATTCTGGGGACTTTCAGAAAACAAAGAAAGTTTCACAGTTATAACCCATTTGACCTAACCAAGCCTCCAGGCCTAATCAGTCCCGCGAGATACTCCGCCACCCCACGAATGCGCCAATCCTCACTGCGCAGCAGCATCCCGCAAATCGAGCGGCATTCATTCCGTGCCCGGTCGCGCATCCACCAGAGATCCAATTCCTGCATCTCACTCAACCAAATAGCGAAGAGCAGTAGAGCCACTTCATCTCTCCGATGGAGGAGTTGCACGAAGGGCGGTTTCATCTCGACGATGAACCGGATGTAGACCCCAAACAGCTGGGGGGCAAGATGTTTGTTCATGGCGGGTGTTTCACAGATAGTACACAGGACTCTGTAGGCGGAGAGATACACGTTGGTGTTGGTGGTGTCGCTGGGTTGGATGTCGCATATTTCCACCAGCTGGGCGGTGAGTTGGGGTCCCGGTTGAAGTCCGGACGCCTGAGGTGTTTGCATAATGTCGTGGTTCTTGGTGAATTCGGGGTACCAGAAGGTATGTGGGAGATATGTGTTGTATGGATGGAGGATGGATTGGTGGATTGCCTGCACCTTGATCCAGGAGAAGGCTTGGTCGATGTCCTCTCGCTCAGTTCGCGTGACCCAGGAGGTCGACGCTTTTGAAGACGGATCTGCGACGACCAGGACATTCATCAGGAATGCGTTCGAGTGCATCAGATTAGCGGCGGTGACCGAGGGCGGCTGCGTCAGGTCCTGGTTGTACAGGGCGGCAAATTGTTGATAATGATGATAAAAGATAGGCAACAACTGGTGCCTGTCCGGTTGGAGACAAAGGAGGTCTCGTGCGGAAACAGCCAGAATTGCATGGAGGAGTGACGGCTGGGAAAGCGACAAGGGAAGCATGTGGACGCGGTAGATACGTTGTCGCTGTTCTCCGGTCAAGCGTCCGCTCGTCTGAGTCCAGAAATGGTGAAGAAGATACTCCACGGGGAGGTGAGGGTGAGTCCTGGCGACTTGGTTGACCCCCGCTAGCGTTAGGGCACTGCTTGGGATGCTGTTGTGAGGTGAGCTGGCTACGTTCGAGTACAGGCACGCCACCCCGCGTGCGATGCATTTCCGGCAGCTCGGTCTGGCCTCATCACATTTCACTCGTTTCTCCTTACAGAAGTTGCATCCATTGCGGGACTTGAAGTGCGATTTCCTCTGCCCTCCAGTCTCGATTCTCCGGATCAATTTCTCGCGCTTCGATAGGATCGGCATGCCATCTAGGCGAAACCGATGCTGACTGGCAGTAGGGAACATTGAGTCTGGCACTAGACCAGGGTGTCATGGAGAATGGGGCACATTGAACTTACTCTTACGCACAAATCCAGGACTGAAAATCTGGAGTTCTGGAGTCGGCAATGCAGCCTGCAGTCTCGCTAAACATACCCCGCAAGTCCCCGCAAGTCCCCGCATTACGCTTGGTATTAGGGCTCCAGCGCTCTGTCTTCCTACCTAAACAAGCTAGCACACTCGGTATAATCAACCGGCAACTGGGGAGACGATTAACGCTAACTCGATTCGGCAATTTGGTCAATACGAGTCGCCAAGCCCCTGCCTCGGTTCCGTTGGAGAAAGTATATCATGACAAGATCCTGATACTGGCGAATCATCCATGCCTTCTCGTCGCGTGGCCAGCCTTGGCGTTGACCATGATCAAGGGAAAGTGTAGGGTGTACTATTGAGCCGAGCGGACGACTCGGCTATTCCTTCCAGCGTGCCCTGTCTGTTGGGTATAAATATCGAGCTTTTCCTTCTCAACTCTTATACTGTCATTCAAGATCCGTAAGAGTCGGTCCGACGCAGAGCACAGGCATGGTGTCTCAGAAGCTTTTTCTGTTGGTCTCCAGCTTGATTAGCTGGGGGGACTGCAGAGCGATCACTGCAGGTAAAGCAGGTAGGTCTCCTTGAGAAGAAAACCCATCCGTTGTCACGTAATGCTGACTGACGTGACTTTGAACAGCGATCGATGCGTCACTAGAGTGGTCAGAAGCCGTCACCAAGGCTGAAGACTTTCTGGCGCAGCTCACCCTCGAGGAGAAAGCGTACCTCGCGACGGGGGTTGCGGGGTAGGTCAAACCTCTGACCACACAAGAGTAAAACCACAAACTAACGGCCCAGACCATGTACTGGAAGCATTGCCCCGATAGAACGCTTGGGCTTCCGGGGCTTATGCATTCAAGGCAGGTCGTCTATTTCACCCTTAGGGTGTCCTCGACTAACTGGCAGACAGATGGCCCTCTGGGGATTCGACCAGCGGTAAGTGACTCTACGCCTCTACCTCATCGACCTTCCACCCCTCCAACTCCTACTCTTAGCGACCTCCAGCGGAGCTAATTCTCTCCCCATAGGATTTTGCCAGTGTGTACCCAGCGGGAGTCTCGGTTGGAGCAAGCTGGGATAAAGAACTGGCCCGTCAACGCGGCGTCCTTCTTGGCGAAGAGTTCAAAGCCAAGGGAGCCCATGTGATGCTTGGGTAACGTGTTCCAAGACGGAAGGTCGAAGCAAGCAACTGACATTGAAGATAGGCCGGTCGTAGGACCTCTCGGAAGAGACCCCCTAGGCGGTCGCAACTGGGAAGGATTCGGGCCTGACCCGTATCTCAGTGGTGAACTCGGATACCAGAGCATTGTCGGGACCCAGTCTACCGGAGTACAATCTTGTGTGAAGCATTACATCGGGTATGAGCAGGCCACGGGGTCGAACCCCACTCCAAACACAGACGGGGTGATCATTCAGGGCTACTCGTCGAACATCGATGACCGCACCATGCATGAGATCTACTCGTGGCCGTTTGCGAGTGCAGTCCGGGCCGGTGTCTCGTCAGTCATGTGCGCATATTCGAGGGTCAATGGCTCCTACTCGTGCGAGAATAACCAGACCCTCAACACAATCTTGAAAGAGGAGCTTGGCTTCCGAGGGTATGTCATGAGCGACTGGGGCGGTACAATGTCGGGCGCGCACGCGATTGAGAATGGACTCGACATGGACATGCCGGGTGGTGCTGTCAGTTTCGAGGGTACGTCCTGGAGTACCTCCCTTTTTGGCGACAATCTCATCCAGGCCGTGAACAATGGGACCCTGTCGACATCACGCGTGGACGACATAGTGCTCCGCGTGATGACCCCGTACTTCTATCTCAACCAGAATCGCGCCGATTGGCCGCCCATCGACCCCAGCTCAAAGGAACTTGGGGACTTCTCCGCCAGCATGGCCAACTATAGCTGGTCGGTCGGTGGCGAAGCGCACCGGGACGTGCGCGGAGACCACGGAACCTTCATTCGCAAGCTTGCCGCCGAGTCCGTCACCTTGCTGAAGAACCAGAATGGTGCTCTGCCGATCACGGAGATTCCCCGCTTCATTGGGGTATTCGGGAACGATGGAGCGGACAAGTCGGCCGGGCTGGCATCCTCCCCAGACTCCGAACTCATCGGTACGTTTGCTACGGGGGGTGGAAGCGGCTCGGGACGACTCACCTACCTTGTTTCGCCCTTGGAAGCAATCAAGACTTGGGCCAAGGGGAGATCCGACTCCTTGGTCCAGTATGTCACCGACAATGAGCTCATTCCCGGGTTGCTCAAGCCCAATAGTGTGGCTTTCGGGGCGGCCATCTATCCCATCCCCGAAGTATGCTTCGTCTTCCTCCGCTACTACGTCTCCGAAGGCCCGGATCACAGCGACTTCGATCTCAACAACAATGGCAGTGCGGTTGTGAACGCTGTCGCCTCGGTCTGTAACAACACCATCGTGGTCACCCATTCTGGCAACGTAAATCTTCTCGAGTGGGCGGACCATCCCAACGTGACGGCTATTGTGCGCTGCCTCCTTTCCCACATACCAACCATGAGTAGTGATTTACTGACCCTTAGTTCCCTCGTATTGATAGATGATGGCCTACATGCCCGGTCAGGAGTCCGGCAATGCGATCCTGGATGTTATTACAGGTCAAGTGAATCCCAGTGGCAAGCTTCCATTCACAGTCGCATACAACGTCAGCGACTACAACACCGCCATCGTGAACTTCACTGCCATGGATATCACAGACCCAAATGGACGCCAGGTGAACTTCACGGAGGGGCAATTCTTCGACTATCGTCATTTCGATCTCGCGGGCATCACTCCCAGATACGAGTTCGGATACGGTCTCTCGTACACCAATTTCTCCCTCGAGGTGCTCTCTCTCAAGGCTGTTAGCAGAAAGGGAGGTGTTTCCCCTCGCCCCGATGCGAGCAAGACAATTCAGCCAGGCGGAAATCCCGATCTCTATGACGTTCTCGTCACTGTGAAAGTCAGGCTGACCAACACAGGCAGTTTGGCCGGCGCGACGGTGCCTCAACTGTATCTAGCCTTTCCGCAGGACACGACCCCGGCTGGGACCCCGGTGAAGGTGCTTCGAGGGTTCGAAAAGATTCATCTCAAAGCCGGGAGAAGTCAAACGGTGACATTCGAACTGACTCGCAAGGATGTGAGCTTTTGGAATGTGGTGAAGCAGGATTGGGAGATTCCGGCGGGCGCCTTTGAGGCCAAGATTGGTCTGAGCAGTCGCATCATCTCGGCCACAAAGTCGTTTGAGCTTTTGTAGGGTTGATGATTTTTGTCTTATATTTCTCGAGCGTGACTACCACATTGGGAGGTGACTGAAGCACATGAGCCTTTCGAGCTTGTGCCCTAACGGGTGATGTTGTTATAATTAGACCGTGTCTAGTACACTAATAATGAGTCACAACCGGAAGTGAGTCAACCTTCTGCATTTGTATCAGTTGATGCGAACAAGAACAAAAGCTATCTAAAATTGGCATGAACACTTACCATCCATCAGCTATGTAACATCACCGTGTGCCTGAAGGGGAAATTACTGTACTGTATGTATTACCAGTACGCTACGATTCCCAAATCGATCGATTTGCTTTTAGCGTCCCAAGCTTTAAGGTTATTCATTAAACCCTTTCCCCTTTTCCATCGTCGACTTGTTGACAACCAGCAAAATGTCTCGACGATTCTTGACACCCGTTCCCATCGGACGATTCCACTTCGAACTCTGTGCAGATCTCTACAACCGGATCTTCGAGATTGGATGGAAGGGCAGTGGACGAACCTGGGGTCAACTGCCCACGTGGTGGCAGCATTTCCATCCTACCGATGCAGAAGCCTCGCACTACCACCCCTGGATGATCGAATTCCTGAAACGTGTTTAATACCACCTCGACTCCCCGCCGTTCTTCTACTACGTTGGTAGTCTGTCGTCGGGCGAGTACCTCGTGGACGAGCATGTCAATGGTCTAGCGGAGTCACACGACTGCTTTCTTTATTTGCACCATGCAACGGGTTGGATGTGCGGCGATGAATATGGGATTCTGTACAGCACTGCCCCTTGAATCCTCAATCAGACTATGCTGATGCTCCGATAGATTTGACCAAGTCTCATGCAAAGCCACCTTTGTGACCCATTGCGAAGATAACCTCGACCGAATCAACACGGGGTACGCCTGGAAGCCACTAGAAGAGATCTACGGCGCATATCTGGCGATGATAGCGTCGCGCAAAGTAGAAGTCCGGCAGTGGCCCAGTGGTCGATGGAGTTGGGAGACCGACACCGACCAGCTCGCCAACAACCCTATCGAGACAATAGGACCATGGCGGTTCCATACGTATACTCCGACTGATGTCCAGCTGGCTGTCCTGGCCCTGCAAGCACTTCTAGACGCGATCGAAGCTCGCTTACCGCCGCCTGCAACCATTGCCACTGCTAGGGCCGCTACCATTGCTGGCACGGTTACATCAACGCTCCCCTGGGCAGACCCGCGTGTCCGCGAGGAGGCCCGCATCCTCCCCAACAGCTTCGCCGGGGCGTTCTGCGCCGCCACCGCGACCACCTGCACAACCACCACCCGTCGACCCTTCCGGTACCTGGCCCCGGGCATCCGCCTCCCGACGGTCGCAGAATTCCGCGCTCAGCCATTTCGGGACTACGAGTATGCGGTTCCTCTCTTGCGAGAGCTGCCTCATCTAAGACCGATTCGCCCCACGCTGTTGCTTGTCGCGGACCCCGGAGACTCATCATCACCACCCCCATCACCACCACCAACGGTCGTCCCCAGCCCCGGCATCGATCGCAATGACTTTATCACCTCACGAAGGCAACTCAGTCTCCCGGTCCCCGCGCGACCCGCGGGGCTCTACCTAAGCGGTGACAACCGCGGCAACCGTGCTGGGGAGTCGGGGTGCCACCTGCTCCTGCCCTTCAGTATCGGGGAGCAGGGCTGGCTGCGCCGCAGCGACGGGACGATCATGGGGACGGACTATGCGGACGACATACTCCCGACGCCCGGCAACACCAATTCGGAACTGTATCCGTGCGTGGACAACGGATGCGTCCCTGGCCGCCATGTGCCCATTCACCAGGTGCTGCAGAACTGGGCGGAACGGGTGCGGGAGGGGGACTGGGAGGTGGTTGAGAATGGGGTGTTGGGGGGAATTGGAAAGTGGAGGGAGGCGGATACGGAGCAGATGTGGGAGAAGTAGTTACCGCGTACCGTTGGAGATTCATTAGCGAAGGATTAATAGCATAGGTAGATAATGCCCCAGTCACTGGTGCCGGAAGGCCGGCTCTACCCACGCGACCCACCACAGAATTCGCAAGACAAAACTGCTGCACATCCATCGGATGAGAAAACTGCACACTGTGTCAGATATGTGTGCAAGATCATCGACCTCGACCTGAGCACCACTGACAGGAATAGAACTGTCGATCACTGAGTTCATTCACATGTCGGATCACCAGCGATAGCCCCGACAATCCTTGACAAAAACAGCAGCGGCATGCGGGGGGAGCTGTGCGGAGAAGGCTAGCGCTATCACACCATATGCAGGTCGGATCACCCTGCTGACAAGACCAGGAATTTTCTCTGTGCTTGTTCCAGAGACGCTGACCGATTGGACTTCGTGAGTTTGCTGGACCGCGACCCAAAGTATAATTGAGTGAAGAATGAAGATAGTCTGACGCTTACGTTGGGGTGTTGCCGTGCCTCGCAGGAAACCAGGTTACGGCAGCCGAGGCAGCGGAGGCTGTGACCTATTGCTATCGCTGGTCGCAAGATCCATTGCCTTATCGCCCCAGAAACCCATTGCAATGACGAGACTGGTAGTTGGACGCGGGTCAATCCGACTTTTCCGGGTTTTTTGCTGTGGTGCTTCTAGAAGGTCCACTTGGCGCTGTGGAGGGTTCGCCTTTCTCTCATCCGCTGGGGCGCAACAATCGATTGTTCTGAACTTTTTCCTCTCTAAACCGCTCATCAACCCTATTTTACGGAGTAAAGATTCTCCTGTCATAAGATGATATCGATCACAGGAAATCGTGCCACAAACATTGAAATGGCATAAGATTCCAACCCGAGTTGGCAGTTCCAACTTCCAAGGCAGGGCGAGAGTCTCTGCCTGGAGTGGAGTCACGGGAAGGCCGGAGCCCTGATCGCTCGCTATCTTTTTCCCTCCTCAACGGGCGCAGCACTCCAGCACCTCCAGCACTCCAAGACCCGCTCGATACACCACGCCAAGCAATAATAAGCAACAAGCTGCGGCGGAGTTCAGCAAGGTTGAAGGGACCAATGTGGTTGCGCAGCTGAAAAAGACCGAAAGTGATGGTTGATTACTGATGGATCCGAGCCATCCGAGGGAATTTCCCCACTTTGACTGGCTGCCCGAAGCCCGACACGAGGTTTGATGTCATTCGGCTTTGCTGCGGACTGGACTGCATTGCGACAAGGAACTGGATCCTTCCGTCTAGTGCCTCCGTACCTTGCGGGGATTGTCGGTCAGCACGCAGTACATAAACACCAGCTCTCCCCACCCAAGCCACCGTATTTTGCTCTCTTCTTCCACCTTTTCCTCTTTCCCTCTTCCCATCCCCCCCATCCCCTCCTCGCCATGCTCTCCCCGGCCCGTCTCCTCCCTCTCCTCGGGAGTATTCTCCCTCTTGTCTACGGGCTGCCTACCACCAGCCCGTCCGTAGTGCTCCCTCCCACCGAGGATCCCTTCTACAGCGCCCCCAATGGCTTCGAGAGCACCCTCCCCGGCACCATTCTGCGCCTGCGTCAGGCCCCCGGCAATCTGACGGCGCTGGTCAGCAACGCCTCGGCGGCGTACAACATCGTCTACCGCACGACGGACAGCCAATACCACCCCTCGTGGGCGGTGACGACGGTCTTCATCCCGACCAACCCCAGCACGGGCAGCGACAACCGCACCGCGCTGCTCTCCTACCAGATCGCCTACGACTCCAACGACCTCGACGCCAGCCCCAGCTACACCATGTACAGCTCCCCGCCAACGGACGTCTCCCTGGCCCTCAGCCAAGGCTGGTACGTCAACGTGCCCGACTACGAAGGCCCCCTGGCCTCCTTCACCGCCGGCGTGCAATCCGGCCACGCGACCCTCGACTCGATCCGCAGCATCCTGTACTCCGCCTCCAACCCACGGGTCACCCAATTCCACGCCCTGGGCCCCGCCACCACCCGCACCGCCCTCTGGGGCTACTCCGGCGGCGCACTGGCCAGCGAATGGGCCACGGAGCTCCAAAACCAATACGCCCCGGAACTGACCCTGTCCGGCGCGGCCCTGGGCGGCCTGACGCCCAACATCACCAACGTGATGAACACGGTCACCGGGACGCTATCCGCCGGCCTCGTGCCCGAGGCCATCCTCGGCATCGCCAGCCAGTACCCGACGACCTACGACTTCCTGGTCTCGCAGCTGAACCCGACCGGCCCCTACAACCGGACCACCTTCCTGGCGGCGCGCAGCCTGCCGCTGACGGAGGCGGAGCTCTTCTTCGCCGGCCAGAACATCTACAACTACTTCGTCAACGGCAGCGACACCTTCCAGGACCCGCGCGTGCAGTACGTGCTCAACCGCGACGGCTACATGGGCTACCACGGCGTGCCCCAGCTGCCCGTGTACGCCTACAAGGCTATCAACGACGAGGTCAGCCCCATCCGCGACACGGACGTGCTGCTCGCGCGCTACTGCGGCGTCGGCGCCAACATCCTCTACGAGCGCAACACGGTCGGCGGGCATTCCGCGGACCAGATCAACGGGCACGCGGCTGCGTTGACGTTTGTGGCCGCCGTGCTCGAGGGCCGCTATGCCAGTCTGTATAAGACCGAGGGGTGCACTTTCCGCAACGTGACGGTGAATATCACCAGCTCGGCGTTGTAGGCTCGCCTTTCAGTGGATACAAGATGGGGGTGGTGATGCGGTGTATAGTAAAGCACAGGGAGGGTTATATATACTAATGCTGAAGGTGGTGTGCGAGGGATGTAATTATGATGGGGTTGGTGGTATGCTGATATGAGAACTGCGACATACTTAATAATGCAGATGATTTTACAGCTGCGATGTGCTTGTAGTGCCCGAAGACTCGATCTGTAAGGGGTTCTAAGGCAGTCGGTTTTCGGTATGATGGTAGTTTCGGGTCAGAGGGTTGATCTAGGTACAGTATATGTGTGACGAGCGCGCTCATCAGTTGGTGGCACATACACTCCAAATAGTGGTTGAAGCGTTGGCAGCCCCCTTGGAGCTCTTGATTGCCTGCTCTGACAGGTGATAGACCACCAGTCAGCTTGATCTACTGAGCTGATACACTCGAGGACATGGCCCGCAGTCCAGGTATAGATGCACAACGCGGCACACAACGCGGCGTAAGTCCGGACATCATCCCGACGATGCGATATCCGAAGTCAACCAGGATGTCTGTTCAAGAGTCTATAGCAGAATTCGCGATTCATCACGCGTAAAGCTTGCAAGATCACCGCATCCACGCTCAGATGGTGCCACGCCGCACCTCAAAGATTGGCTGCGCGGGCGCGACGGGAGTCGGCGATAGCCCCACCCAGCAGTGAAGCTCGATCTAAACGCCGAAAGCCGATGCGCGCGGTCGAGCACCAGCTTCCTCTCGCGACCAGAATTCTATTCTACGATCAATAGATAAGACTTGCAGTTTCCGACGGGGCTCGATGTGATTGCACCACAGTGACATTAGCAAGGAAGACAAACAGCAACCACAATGGCGCCCCATCCACGCATCCAGTCCAGCGGGTCCCTGGACGCCTTCAACCCCGTGATGGTGACCCCAGTGATCGGCAATGAATTCCTCAAGGGAAGCTGCAACCTCGTTGACGACATCCTGAACAGTCCCGAGGCAGAGCAGCGCATCCGCGATCTTGCGGTGATGAGTTCGCCCACCCCGTCCCTCCACGCTCGCCCCATCCCCCTCCCACTAACGCAAGCACCCACCCGCAGTCGCCGAGCGCGGCGTGGTCTTCTTCCGCGCCCAAGACAACCTCACCAACGCCCTCCAGAAGCAGCTCATCCTCCGCCTGGGCGAACTCACCACCCGCCCCGCCTCCCACGGCCTGCACATCCACCCCGTCACCAACGACGCCCGCGAATTCGGCGACCCGGACCCCGAGATCAGCACCATCAACTCCGAGGGCCGCAAGAAACTGTACAAAGGTTCGGACTATACCAGCCAGGCGGCCGTCTGGCACAGCGACATCGCCTTCGAAAAGGCGCCTGCCGACTTCTCGAGCTTGCGGCTCATCCAGTTGCCCACCACCGGCGGGGATACGCTCTGGGCGTCCGGGTACGAGATGTACGATCGGTTGAGTAAGCCGTATCGAGCTTTTGTGGAGGGGTTGACGGTCACGCATGTCGGCGAGGGGTTCCGCAGGATGGCGCAGGTGGGTGGCTTCAAGATGTTCACCGGGGAACGAGGCGCGCCGGTCAATGTGGGCGATGAGTTGGTGGCGATTCATCCGGTTTGTCTTTCTTTTCCCGAGTCTGAAGATGGGTGCGGTTGGCTGGTGGGGATGCTGATCATGTGGGTGTAGGTTGTGCGCACGAACCCGATCACCGGGTGGAAGTCGATTTTTCCCGCTGGTGAGTTCGAGGTACATTGGGAACCATAGGATCATGCTAACGAGGACTGCAATCAGGCGCCTTCCCCACGAAGATCAACGAACTGAGTCGCAAAGAGAGTGCGAACATGCTCCAATATTTCAACGACCTGATCATCCACGGGCATGATCTCCAGGTGCGGTTCAAATGGAACGAGCCCAATGATATTGGTAGGTCTCCATGATCTCGTCACTTGATTTGTGTTAACAAAGACCAGCCATCTGGGACAATCGCAGTGTCTTCCACACCGCTACTGGCGACCACGAGGGCTTCGGGCCGAGGAGCGGGAACCGGGCTGTGGGCGTGGGTGAGATCCCATATTTCGATCGGGAGAGCAAGTCCAGGAGAGAAGACCTGGGTATTGAGGATACGCTATCCCCCGCGCACTGGTAGGGTCGGAAATCTGACATAGGTGCTTCGAAATGTGGAATGGCGCTTTAGTGATCCTGGTCACAGTGATAATGATATGTATGAATTATGCTTTATTTGTTGGCCATTGCTCGTTGCTATCCTGCCATTGATGCCCACGGAAGGTCGGTCCAGAAGTCATCCGTCAGCATGTCGCCAAACGAGTGCAGACTATCTAGCATCTCTTGTAATCCGTGGCAGTGTAGGCTTGATCCGTCGTAAGGAGATAAATTGGCACCGGGAGGTGGAGTGGGTATATCAGCCCATCCAGGAAGGCTATGGGACCCGTTGGTCGCTTGAACTCCAAGATGAGATACTCCGTCAATGTGGGACCATAGCTCGCCGGACGGGGCTGCTGACGAACCGCCGATGTTGTCGGTGGGCGTGTTGGTGGCATTATTCACGAATTCGATGGCTCTCGTCATGACGGTTTCTAGCCCATCGCGGTATCTGCGCAGGGTGGTGTTTCGCTCAGCCATCATAAACATCACCAACGAGCATGCGCGCAAGTCGTCCGACACTGCCACACTCCAGAGATGGGGCGCCCGGAAAAGACAGAGACTACTTCAATCAGCCGCGCTTTTCCAGTCATTCCGACAGAGCTTACCACATCGTTAATCCAGCCATGAACAATGAATTGACTAGAAGAAATGAGTACCCAGATGAGTCTCTTTGCCGCAGTGTCTTGAAGCACTGGCACATTTTCCCCGAAACGAACAGGCATTTTTGGATCATGGGATCATCACTAGGAACAATGCTGAGGAATCGCTGTAGGAGCATGCGGATGCAATTATACCAGTGCATGCGGACAAAGGTTGATTCCTCGGGTGCCATGAGCGGTTGGGACTGCTGAAATTCCTCTAGAGAAGCCATCAACGGGGGTACTTTAGTAATCAATGCTGACAGGTTTCGATCGACACGGTATATCTCAGAATGAATTCGAGACATGATGCGCTGGAGTCGGATGGTAGCAATGAATCTGCGAAGATTCGGGCCTGGTGTTGGCGCAATCGGGTCCGCAGGAGTCTGCACCATCTGATCGGCCTGCAGATCGTCATTGGTAGCGTCGTCCATGTCAGCCGGTACATTAGCGTCTATCTCTGTTTCGGCGATGCTGAACGGACGGCCCAGAGACCAGCACACGTATCTCTCAACCAAGTAGACGCTCCAGAACAGGCGACGCCGCAGTTGGGCATCGTGCGGTCGCATCGCTCGATATTGGCTTTCGCGATGCAGCCCGAGGTCCACGCAGATGCGCATTGCTAGGCCGATCGTGTACCACACACTCGAATGCGATGCTGAGCGCAGATCATAGAGGACCAGTAACATGATGGCCTCAATTCTCGCATATGTCGAAGTTGATCTGACTGCGCTGTGGGAATTGGATGCTGCCGCGCAGAAATCGCGAGGGGGAGTTGAGTCATATGAATCAGTCATTTGTAGTATCGAGGCACCTAAGGCATAGACCATGAAGATCTTAAACGTCTCGAACCCGCGAATCCCAGAATGATTGTTTTGGTGGATGGTCTGGTGTAGGTGGTAGATCTCGGAGCGATCCAGGAACGGCAGTCGAGTATGCATATCTCGAAAATAAGCATCGATGAGCTTCGAGCCCCCATCAAGACCTGGGAGAGATGTAGTGCTACTCAGTGCAGGGGGACTCGAGGCAATGCTTTCCGTGCGTTGGAAACCAGCATTGATGGGGATGGACTCGGTCCAAACGGTATCGTCTACGATGCCACCCAGGTTCTTCGCAATGGTGCGGCCCGATGACGGCCCCAGATATGCTGGGCCCTGGTTGGGTTCGCGACCAAGGGATAATAGTGAGAGGACAGCAGACTGATCCGGGCTCTGATGGCTTGACGCTGTATCCCGATCTGCATGTGGCTCCAGCGATGGGCGCTGAAGAGCGGTGGCCAATTGGGATTCGAGCAATTCAATTCTCTGGACCAAGGCTCCTTTGGACATAGCGTGATGCCACGAGGGGACCGTCTCGGAGCGCAAGCATGGTTGTTTGGCGGCCTCGCATCCCGCGCAGGTTGGATACCCCACACAGCGTTGCTTGCGGCGATGACACCGTTTACAGGACTTGGGAATGCGCTTGCGAACTCGAGCCTCGGTGCTCATGATGAACGGTGAGTGAAGATGTTGGTCCATGGAGAAAGAAAGCATGCAGGCGGGCATTTGGAGTGGGTTAAGGTTAGGGTTCCCCGCACTGCAGCGGCATTGGGACAACCGAGGCTGAGGCCATCGCCAACCAAACGCACGTCATCCAGGCTAACGGTGGCTAACAGTGGCTAGCGGTCGGTTATCTTGTCAAGTTTCCACTGATGAAACAGCTGGAGTGACGTTTGTTGCACAGTATGACTGATGCGTGCACGTGTAAGTCAGATGATTCTCGTGCCATGCAAATGCAAAGCAATCAAGCAATCAAGCAAGAAAGAGAAGAAAAGACAGCAGGATGAACAAGGGAAGGTTAGTCGATAGGCACGTGACACGTTGTAATGTTCTCCCGCTCCGCTCCTTAAAGGGAAGTAGTTCCCACACCCTTCACGCTGGTTGATGTTTCTGCTGTGAGCTGCTTATGCAGGAGGCAGCCACCAAGGGGCTTTTACCAAACAATTCCTCCCAACCAGCTCATTCTGCTGCTTGTCTGAAGCTGCAGCACAATGCTCGGGAAAGTCTACCAGCAAATAGGCGGATGCAGCTTAAGCATCGGGGGTCTGATTGGTGATCGGCTCAGTCCTCTTTCTCATCCCTTGCATCAGTCAATAGACAAGGATCACGGACCTTTTCTGCAACTATTTTCATTGTCTTTACTGTCATAACTGTCTCCTCACGGTTATGCACACTTGTGACAAGTATTGGAGCGCCCCAACGCTCTTGCGGAACAAGCACATGCCTCAGTTCCTTCTCGACAGCTTTCTCAGGTACTCGCTATTCACAATGATCATTGCGATTGACTAATAACCAGGGCTCTAGGTGAACAATAGAAGTGCTAGCTGACTATACAGACACGCAGCCTGTCTGCTTAGCAGGGAACTAATCCCGCAGGAGCATACTCCGATGAGAGGAGAGCCCTAGGCACAGTCTGACTGGAGTTGCAAACATCTATGCTCACCGTGCGTTTGGCTTGGCCCATCGGGACACTGTTCCGGAACTTGAGATCGACAGAGACAGATGATGCTACCATCCGTCGGTCTGGCTCTGCCCCTTACATAGACAATGGGCCTGTGCGGGTCACGAGTCAAGCCGAATCTGGCGAGGAGCTGCTTTCCGGCCAGTCTCATGGCCTCGACCTCGAACTCATCCTGTCTTTGACACAAACGTTCTACTAATGGCGTGGAAACACGACGGTTGCAGCACGGTGGGACGCAATATTCTCGGCCATTTCATTGGCGGGTATAGCATGTCTTTTGGGCACACCTTGCTGAGGTTGAGATCATAGTACAGTTGCAAGGACCGATGCACTTCTGCCTTGCTATTGGATAGGGGGCTTGGCTGATGATATCCGAGCTTATGGCCAATCACACGATATTCATTCAGCCACCGCTGCAGTAGTCAGACGTTGGCTTATATGTCTCTGGGCCGTAAAGGTGGGTGGGCTGGGGCGGGTTCTAAGCGCTCGCCGATGCAAATGCTCTCTCTTTTGTGGCTATCGGTACAACAGGGCGAATTGTGCTCAGAGGAGAAGTGAGTCATCACACTTGATTGGTGACACTGACGTCGAGGTAGGCCCTCTGTCGTGGATCATGAAATCAGGGAATCTTGGACGGAAAGAATGGATGGGAAGTGCAACGGCAAACGTCAGCTGTCAGGGAGGTCTCCCTTACGGAGGTGTCCGGTCTCTGCCGATATGTATACCCCGGAGACTGAGGTTAGAGTGTGCCTTTGCCACCCTCAACTTGCGCTTCTCACAAGTGTCGGTTGAACAGCTGCCTTGTCTGGGATAACACCTTCAGCCGACCTTAGCTGCTACAAGCTCAACGGGTATCTCTCTGCGAGCTACACAATGGACTCTACCTCTGGGAGAAGGGTGCGTTTAGCATGCGACTCATGCCACAACATGAAGATGAAATGCTCTGGCGGACGGCCTTGTATGACCTGTACAAGATATAGGCACACGTGCATCTACAGTGCTCCCAACCGTATCGGTCGACCTAAGGGTTCCAAAAACAAGACAGTCACTCCCCTTGCAACGACTGATTCCTCTTCTTGTGCCGATGTGTCCAGAGACAGCGGGATGGCCGAGACATGGAACTGGGATTTACCAGGGTCACCTTTACTTGTGGGGGGGAATTTTGAGGTTCCGACAACGACTCGCGCCAACGAGTTCAACAGACCACCTTTAACGACTCTATCGGATTATGACCTTCATACCAATTTGTCTTCTAGCGCACCTGCTTCTCTGGCAAGAACCTACTTGCCTGAACCTGGGGACAACTCGTCTTCTACTGTTCCAGTATGTCCAGCAGCGGCTTTCTCTTTGTGGCGACCTTCAGCCCCAAGACGTGAATGATTACTGACATACACTTGCTACCTCGACAAAGAATAACATGCAGGCGTTCTCAGGAGAAGAGTATTCTTCATTCCCCGCCCCGGGGCCGCCGTACCAGCTACCACAACCTCAGTCCGCTGCGCCGGGAACAAGGCCCAACGCCAGTATCCCCTGCCAAAAATGCAACTGCGTCAGTGTGCAGGCGGACTCTCTGTCGAGCCTTCGAAAGCGGGAAGCCGAACCATGTCCCATCGCATTCCCGATCGTTCTTGAAGCAACTCAAGATATCCAGATCCGATGGGGGGCGCTGCTCGGGTGCTCGCTCTGTCGCACGGACGGGGACCACGTTGCACTCTTACTGCTCGCGATGAGTCTGCGTCTGGTGCTTCGCTGGTTGCAGCTGGCCATCTACGATCGTGTGTCGTTATCCCACGAGCCTCCCACCCCTACTACACATACAACGCCTCAACGCTCCCGCCGCTCGAGCCTCTTGGCCATCGGCGAGGTGCTCTCCCCCAGCTTACATGGAGACAAGAGCCGTTCGGCCAGAATGTCAGCTAGCGGTCGAGTTCGCCCGAGGTCCAGCAACTTGTCAGCCGATCGCATACGCATAGGCAATTACGAGCTGCCTGACGAGGAGCATAACTTTGTGATGGACATGCTCACTAGCCGGACGCTTGCGCGGCTCCGGCAGACCCAGATTGGCATCACGACGTACTTCCAACAATTTCAGGGTGGCGTGAACTATTCCATGACGGGCCAGAAAAAGTCCATCAGCGTCGTGCTGGACCATTTGAAACACTCCATCCAGACGACCGAGCAATTGGTGCAGAAGGTTGCGCAATAGGTGTAGAGCCTCGTCCGTCATCTATCCTATTCTGCGAATGCGGTCCAAGGGACCGAATACTTTGCTTTTGCACTCAATCATTCTCTGTTCGACATTCTTCTGCTTCTGGGCAATTTCAGGTCTTCTTTACCGCGGCTGGCACAAATTTTGGTCCCACTTTTAAACGCCATAGATGTTGCTTGTTCACAAATAAGGGTCTCTGTTGTTCAAATACCCGTGTCTGCTTTGCCATCTTGATTGAGTGTGGGTGGCTTACCTTGTGTGATTAGTGCTCACGATATGAGATGATGCACTGAACAAAGGCCCAATACGAACTATATATCCGGTTGCTGGTTCAAGTAGACGCATCAGGTTTGTCATGTCCCTAATTGACCATCCTGATCTCGGCCCACCGCGTTGAAAAGATTCCAGTTACGTAGCCCAGTCTTATGATGCTCGACTTGACGCACCTCAGTTTACTTGAAACCCAATTCTTGGACTGAGGTAGAAGCTGTAACCAGTCTTCTTGTACAAAGATCGAGGAAGAGCGGGGAATGAAGTGTCCACGTCAACCTCGATCCTGGCAAGTTATACCTTGTAACTGCGTGTCTACTGTAGCGACTTTCTTCGACAGCGGTAAGCTACATGTGGTGTCCAGGTTTCGATTCCTTTGCATGGAACATCAATCAGAATGTCACATGGATGAAATGACACATCACATTCCGTCACGTTACATTACGTTCCTTCAGACGCGGTCGATAAATTCTGCCTGGAGTGATGCTGAAATTGTATGGGCTGAGTCAGGGGTGATCATGGATGGAATGTGCCTCTGCCTGAACAGGAAAGGGAACTGACGGGTCACGCATTCCAGTGCACCACTTTGACCAACATGCATTGTAAGAGCATACTGAGAAGATTGAACTGCTCAGTGATCAGCAGCATGTGGAATGACGCAGGAGTATGGTCCCTACAGTAGTCGAATGGAATTCTAGACAGCGACCTCGTGTCAATGCGTTCGAGGAATGCTTCCCCCTTCACCCCGTAGCAATGCACATAACTCCACCCAGAATTTAAACATGAACTTCAATCTATCGTTCATTGACCATTCTCCAACTAAGCAGCATCTGCATAACATCGTCAACTAAGCTAAACATGTGTACATCGTAATTCCCGTCCCGGACGGCCCATCCCACAATCAATATGGACTTCAATCCAACCCCCATGCTCACATCAAATCAGTGCCTCCATCAACATCGCCACCATCACCTAGATAGTGTACTGTCGCTGCAACCACCCGCTCTCAGGTCGCGTGGAGCAACCCGTCGCCGTGCTGCAGGTGCCCTGGTCATGCACGGCGTACTCGTAGAAGATGTTTGTTTTGTCCTCGATGTCCGAGGCATCCAGGTTGACGGGGTTGTTGTTGATCGCGTAGCCCAGATAGCCGGTCAGATCGGGGTGGGAGCTGGCGTCGTTCAGGGCGGAGGTGGCGAAGAAGGCGGTGGCGTAGTGGTCGCTGTGGTCGCCATCCCCAAAGCTGTTGTGGTAGTCCTGGGTCTTGAGCTCGTCGGGCTGGAAGTCGTCGATGAGCGAGGTGAGGGTGTGGATCAGCTCGTCGCGGGTGTAGGTCGTGCCCGACCCGTCGACGGTGGTGATGTGGTCGATCGCCCCGTCCCACAACTTCTGCAGGCTGTCGTTGTTGTCCGCCGCCCATCCCGTGCCGTCCATGTTGCCGTCCGGCAGGTGCAGAAAGATCAGTGAGATGGACGAGTTCTCCGACAGCGTGTAGATCGAGATGTCCTTGCCGGGGATCCCCGCGTCCGTCTCCGTCCAGCTGTTGCCGGCGATTGCCATGCGCGCGTACGCTGCCTGCGACCCCAGCTGCCGGTTCTGCCAGTAGCTGGTGCCCTGGCCCGCGTCGCCGGCCGTCAGGAAGATGGTGCGTACCGCCTGGCCGGAGAGGATGTCGCGGATGAGGTCCGGGCTCAGGAAGAGGAGATCATCATCCTGGTGGGCGACAATGTTGAGAGTGTCCGCTAGGGCGAACGGGATGGAGCCCAGGAGGGCGAGTTTGCTGAGGAGGGTTTGGGGCTTCATAGCTTAGCTAGATCAATGTGCACTGGGTATATGGAGAACTGTGGGTATACTGAGAACGCGTGGCTGAAAATGAATGAATCAAGCAGAACGCACGAAAGCTTGAGGAAGCCGTCGAGTCCAAGACGGCATCGCGTCTTGTTTATATCTTGTTGTATACTTCTCAGCGAGCTCAAAGAAGGTCGTCGCGTGCCGTATGGCTTGCATTCCGGAGCCTCGGAGTGGCCCAATATAGTCACCACCCCTTGCGTGTTCGGTCCTGATGACGCCAGACAAACTACTCATACATTGTGAGGCTCAAAGCCATATGACAGGAGTTTGAGGAGTGGTACGCGTCCTAGAATACATCTGTGGCTTGCTGGGCTGTGACTTGGATCGACAACAGAGCTCTAAGGTTGGAGAAATGATGCGGTTGAGGTACGCTATGATCCCGTTGAGGGTTGGCGCACATTCCGCGGCTGGAATGAGGATGTAACACATGGAGAGGTTCGGCCGTAGGTCAGAGTGGTCGCGTTGTGCCTTGTTGTGTCGGGGGGAGACTGTTGACGTTTCATGGCTGGCAGCCACTGATCCATTGTCTCGCGATTATGTGCGATCATAGAATACTGTCTAAGCTCAGTAGCGAGTGTAGTGACAGAACCGAGCAGAGCCGTTAATAAGTAGTAAGTATCGTAGTTGAACAGCATCTGTCTAGGGGTAAAGACTAAGCGCTGCTCGGAGGCGATCGGAAACCCGGTTTCTAGGGTCATCATGGATTAGGGCAATCTTGCCTCTTTTGGTGAGACGATCTGTCGCATCAAGCCTGCCTTGCCTAAACTTCGAAAGTGACCTCCATTGCATGGTGGCTCCTGTACCCCAGAACAGACTAACTGCAATTTGGCCTTTCCCTTACGCAGAGTTATTCAGGCTTCTTTCGTTGTAAGAAGATGTAGTTGAACCTGTAGCAACGATACCCTCTTGTGATATCTCTACGTGATTCTGGAGATCGTTAGTCCCGTACAGTACAATGCCCTTCAGACGGCCGGTCCCTCACCCGTCTGTTGAATGTCTCCTGTCGCAGTTATCTGCTTAAGAGGTAGCCTTTAGCTAGATTATGGTCAGCGAACCCACTATACAAGCCTCAAGAGCACAATGTAAATTGCCGGTTCTTTTGCTAACGGTCCCTGGTCCGGATACATAAGTACAGGCTCAAGTCAACGCCCAGCGAAGCTCCATTTCTTAATCCCTGGACGAGTCAGCTGCGCACCTTCATTTCCCAATCAGAATATTATACTTCAACCGAGCTAGTTTCGCTAGGCATTAACTACTACCAATGCTCCAGTAAGATCTTTCCTTTTCAATTTTGTACTTGGGGACTAGTCTAAAGGTAAGATGGCAGCCGGTCTTGGAACGCCATATGTCGACAGCCGTTCTATATATATTCCCTCAGCTAAACTACAACCCGCGAAGAGCACGAAGTCGTGATCGAGGGTTTACATTGATTACAGCCCCTCTAGATCACCTCTTTGGATTTCTATTTTGATTTTGACTGTTTTTTGGGGTGGATTTGTGAATTATTCCACTAACCTATGATGTGAGTAGCCAGGAAGGGTCTATTATATACACCAACAATTGCACGGAGCCCTCTCAAGACTGGTCCCTCTACTAATCAATCCCACATGTCATGATATAAGATGAATAGCTTGTCTCCAAAATCAGACTAAACTAATAGCTATACCACAGACCACCAATAATCATCGATCTATGCGACGTCGAGCCCTGGCACCCTAGGCTCAGATTACTGCGGAACTCCTACAAGGTCAGCCATATTCCATTTATGTCGGACAGTATGAGATCTCTAACCAACGACAATCTCCGGAAGACACTGCTAAAATCCACCACACGACAACCACACATTTCAATACCTGACGAAGCTCTCCTCAAAAAGATGCAAGTCAACAAAGAAGCCTGCACAAAGTTCAAGATAAAATGCGAATTACCGCTAAATTGGCCGGTCGACTCCACCAGAAGATATTATATATAGAAAGCCACGAAGTATCAACAACGGAGTCCACCCCTCACCACAACCTCCTACGCATTCACCACCAGAAACCCAGCGATACACCCCCAAGCAACCAAACCCAATGGACAACCGCCCACCCACCCCCACCTACGTAACCCTGAACCACGGCTGGTACGACTACTTCATCCACCGCCTCGAGGAGGGCGGGTACCGGTACTATCTTGTCGTCGGCGCGCAATACATCTTCTGGGCGTTCCCGCCGTGGCCGGACGCGCCCATCGTGGCGGTGGTCGTGCATGCGGACAAGATGGAGGAGTTGATCGGGTGGCTGCTCTCGCTGGGGTTCGTGTCGTGCCTCGGCTGCGGGCGCCGGCAGGTCGGACGCCACTTTCACATCCAGGACTGTCCTAGTGGGGAGCTGGAGCTGGTGCTGTATGTGCTCACCGAGACGGAGCAGCTGGATCTGGCTGCAGGCCGGGAGGATCGCGATGCGGATTCCCCGGGTGCGAGTATGATTCGGGGCCCGAGAGGGGCTCCAGGGTCGGGTTCCATGCCCTGGCGCTGTTTTGACTTCGCTCGTGGCTCGTTGAAGTCGAGAGACAAATGAGGAAGTATGGCACGTAGGTTTCTTGCTAGGCGTAGTCCATTTCAATGGTATTCCAATCAATGAATTGAATTAAAACCTCCTTGATTAGTACGAGCTTATAAGCCAAAGCTTCCCGCAAAATAAATCTAAAATACCAGCATCCATCCATGATCGCCAACCCCAACCCTGACCAAACAACTTCACCCCAAGACTCACCAGGTAATACTGACCAACCGTCCCCAAAACCCCCCCGCCCACCCAATCCCCATGCCCTTGACCTTCTCCTTCACCTGCACGGGCCCGTCAAACGCCAACACGGCGTTCTCAAAGATCCACCGCCCGACCTCCGTGCGACTGATGCCATACCCCACGGCAGGCTCCTCCTCCGTCCCGACCCGGACCTTCTTATCCTTACCCTCGACCAAGAAACTCGGCCGCACGATCAGATAGCTCGCCAGCGCCCTCTGCTCCCCCTCCGCCGCATCCGCCCGGATCATCGCCTCCATCGCCTTCTTGTCCGCGTGCGGCACCTTCAGCATCCAGTGGTACAGCGGCAGCATCATGACCGGCACGTCGCGCTTCGAGTCCACGCCCGTCGTGCTGATGACGGCCAGCTTGGGTTTCCCCTGCGCGTGCTCGTCGGCCTGGAGAGCGTGCAGGGTCGCCAGTAACGTGCGCATCCCGTCCTGGCAGACGGTCGGGTTCTCGAGGGTCGGGTGCAGCAGGTTCGCAAAATTGGGCTTGCTGCCGATCCCGCTGATGATCAGGTCGACTGTTCGGGGGGAGAAGGTGCCCGGGATTTGGTCGGGGGCGAGGAGGGTGGTGCGCACGGCCGCGGCGTCGGTGGCGCTGCCCTCGATGATGTGCAGGTTTTTGAGGGCGGGGGCCGGGAGGTTGTATGGGGCGAGCAGGGTGGTAAGTTTTTCGGGCGTGCGCACGACTGGAGATTGTTAGTTGTGGTGATGGTCATGGTGGTTGTGGTTGTGGTGGTTCTGTTTTAGGGTTACGCACTTGCGTTGCACTTATACCCGGCCTGGAGGGCTAGAACTAGGCAGTGGAGGGTGCAGCCGCCTGTGCTGCCGAAGAAGGCGATCGTGGGGAGGGAGTCCGGGGTGGGCATTTTTGGGGGGTGGATAGAGGAGGTAGAGTGCTGATGTTTGGGATTTTGATGCGATTTCGAATATTTTGAAGCTGTACGCAAGGACATATTTATATGCTGGTGTTTGGCGCTACAGGAAAAATGCCCCGCGCAGGGACGGAGGCTTTGACAAGCCGTGGTGTTTTGGCCCCAACTCCGCCACTTTCCTCGTATCTTATACCCACCGAATCTGTAACCGAGGAAGACATTGCCCGATGAATCCTCCAACTGCAGAGACTTTAATGCGACTCCACTGCTGAAACTTACAGAGTACACAACATAATCATCAACATCATTAACTCATGCCACCCGCACCAAAGCGCATACTACTCCCCCCTCCGCCAAGGCAACCCCCGTTCCTTACACCCATCCACCAACTGAAAATACCAGCGATGAGCCGATAACCCCCTCAGCGAGGGCGAGCCCGTGCCCGTGTTGCCCGCATAATTGACGGACCCCTCGTAGACCGCCACATCCTGGGGGCGCACGGTGACATTATCGCCGGAGAGGATATGATACTCGGGGCTGATATGCACATAGTCCATGATCAGCAGCGGCAGCTTCGGGATTGGATCGTTCGTATGTGTGAAGCGGTAGTTGCCGCCCTGATTGGTGATGAACTGCGCTAGCGCCTCGTTCCCCACCCGCGGCGACGCGTAGGCGTACAGCGCCGCCCGGTAGCCGCGCGACCGCAGATCCGCCGCCGCCAGAGTCGCAACTGCCGCGCCAAGACTGAAGCCGACCAGCACGAGGTCGTAGCTGCTGTACGCCTGTTGGAGCTGCTCCAGTTGCTGGATCACATCGTTGCGTATCAGCGTCCATGAGGTCCAGAAGCCCAACTCCGCCCGGCAGCCATCGCACAGGTGGGGGTCCGTGAAGACGAACATCACGTCCGCCAGCCAGTTGCGCACCGAGTACGAGCCGCGGAACGAGATGACGCGCCGGCGGTGGGTGTGGTCCACGGCGATGAAGCCGGCCGTGTCGGTCATCGTGGCACTATACGATCAAGGGGGTTAGTTGAAGTTGAAAAGTCGGCCGGAGGAACCCTCTGGATGGTTTACTTGGAGAAGGCGAGCGCAATGCTCGTGTTGCTGGCTTCAATGGCCGGACAGCCGCGGTCCCAGCAGCGGATCCTCGCCCCTGAGGACTTGGGGTCATAGTTGTTGCTGCAGTAGGCGGCATCGGCATATTGCGCAAAGAATGCGAACTCGGAGAGTTGATGGGAGGAGACATCTGATCGGGGATGAGTGGCGCATTGATCAGGAATGAGGGGAGCTAATATACGTACCGCGCGCGTGCAGGGCAGGAAAGGCCTGGCTCAGCGATGTCAGCACCAACAGCACTACTATGAGGGTACTGAGAAGAGCCATTCCGTGTTGCGGAGGAGACGGATGATCAAAAGCAGATGGCGGAGATGCTGTCGGGGGAATTGGAGATTGGGTCGGCTATATGGGCTTCTCAGGCTTAGCTCGCTACAAAACTTCAGACTCATCCAGCAACATGCAACACCATAGCCCGTCGACTCTCAGAGTCAGGCTCCGAGCTCGATCACTTGGCCGGATCGGAAGAACCGCACGAGATGTGTTTATAGCAACCCCACCCGGATGGAGAAGGTGCAACCAGTGAGACGGACTCGGCTGATGCCCAGAAATAAAAGGCTCAGCATGATAGGTAATTTCAGGTTAGTAGTCGGATGGTTGCTCCGAGATTACGTCGAGGCTGGCTCAGTTGTTCATCAATTTGATGGTCCCGGGGAGCCACCCAACGAGACCTTCCACAAGGGATGCGCATCAGCCATGATTGAGTTCCTTGGGTCACGCGTGGAATGTACGGTGGCTTTCAACAAAGTCAATTTACATGAACCTCGCAACCCACGCAACTTTCTCGACTGATCATCTAAGCTTTCGTGTTTGGATGGCGTGGTGCCCATAGACCTTGGACGAACCGACGCTCATTGACTATCAGGAAACTTGCGCTGCGAGGAAATCATCGGGGAAGGGACCGAGGAGTCCATCATGCGGAGATTCCCCGCTTGATTGTGGTAATCGTGCTTGATTCCTGATTCAGCTGACGAATTCTTGTCTCTGCACTGGCTTCTATTGCTCTGCGACGGAAGTTAGTGAATTCATGACGTTACAAAGCACAGAGGTGAAAACCGCCTATCTTCCAAAAGTCTCAGCGTTGGTTTACCCATTCATTTTCACCAATCGTCCGACTGGCCGCTGCATGATAATCAATCATATCCATCCAGGTCACCGTCAACGAGATGTTCTACAAAGGCAGTGACACGTTGACAAGCAGGCTCGCCAGATCACGTGCTACCGGAGAATGCCTTATGTACAATACCAAACTAGACCGACTTCTTCCTTTCTCTCTTGTCAGGAAAGAAAGATTGCGATGGAGCTGAGAAGCAGCAGCGTCAGGTTGGGGTCACACTCGGCTTGGGCCTCGGCTCTGGTTGGCTGCGGCTCTCCCATGGTCCTCGTACAGTGCAACATGAGGTTGTTCAATCTTTGTCCGATCTTTCACCCCGCATTGTGTCCTTTGCTGGTAACATCCCCGCGGGTGTGTTCGTCATTGATAATGCGGCTGGACAAAAAAGCACTTGTCCGACCGTGGGACATATCGAGTCTATCAGGCGCCAACCCGGTTGGGAACAACTCAGCGAACGCACTGCGACTCGGGTCCTGCGTAGTGATAAGGTCCGACTCGTCAACAAAGGAGTAGCGTCATTTCCACGAAGACCCTCAGTACCAGCAAGCTGTGATAATCAGCAATCAGAACTGGATATGAGCGATGAGGGTTACTCTCAGCCGGCACCTCCACGTGGCGACAAGCAGAATCGCTCCCTAGCGCTGCCACGATACTGCATGACACCCTGCAGTCCCCTCGTTGTCCGCGATGCCAAATGATCCGACCGGCGAAGGTTCAGCAGACTCCAGGCTGCGAGCAGACATCGCCCGGATAAGGTCCGGATCCGACTATGGTGCTTACTTGGCATCATCTGGTGCAATCCGCTTTGATATGCTCGGGTCAATGCATTCGACGGATTTCCCTTCCCATGTGAAAAGCTCCGGCTCGGACGCTTTCGCATGCTTTGCTCCTTCGATGACGATCTCTTGCAGAGGAGATTATAGGATGCAGCGCAGGATCTCCCCCTCGCCACTAGTATTTTCTCCGAAGTTGACCCGGCCACCACAAATCGGCGCGAGAGGGTGAATAGTAGTGAGACAAGGTCAATCTATCATCAACTCAATTTACTCCGAAGCGATGCATTAGATTATCATTTTCCCTGAAGTTAGTGTCTTGGTCCCCGGCGTAGGCAATCTATATGACGCCAGAAGAGGGAAATGGGTCCGATGACAAACTCTTAGTCAGGAGAACGAAGTTTTAGGCAGCAAAACTAGACTCGAATCAGCAGTCAACCAGGGACTGGACCCTGATCGACTCGAATCCATCCGTGCCGAGCCGAAACACAACCAGTCAACTTGCTCCTCGGCATGCCGAGTCTGGTGGAGTCCGATTGATAACCTTCAGGGTTGTCTTCACCGGATACCCGTTTTTTGTTTCAACGTCAATGGCGTGCTGGACTCCACTTGACGGCCTGCCCGCGGAATTGTCCCGTCGCGGACAGACCGTGTCTGTATCTTTGTTCGGGTGCGAAGAGAGGATGAAGAACAGGGCGGAAACCGCCCGCTTGCTCTCAGGGGGAGAGGTATATAACTTTGGGGGATGCTGGCGGACTTGTGCAAGAACCACCAAGCTCAGACGTCCGTTTCGCCATGTTCCGACCGATTGTTCTTCTGAGTGCCCTGACGGCCGCGTTGGCCTCGCCCATCACACACGCCCCCCAGGCCGAATACGACTACATCGTCATCGGTGGCGGCACCAGCGGGTTGGTTATTGCCAACCGCCTGTCGGAAAACGCCAATGTGTCTGTCCTGGTGATTGAGGCGGGTGATTCGGTGCTTCACAATGCCAATGTCACAGCCGTGAATGGCTACGGGCTGGCGTTTGGCACGGACATCGACTGGCAGTACCAGACGGTCAACCAGACCTATGGCGGCAAATCCCAGATGGTGATGCGGGCTGGGAAGGCCTTGTCCGGCACCAGCGCCATCAACGGTATGCTATGCCCCATTATCTGCTCAGTCTCTCAGACATGCTTACTCGTGTTCTTCTTTATGTTCAGGGATGGCGTACACCCGTGCCGAAGACGTGCAGATCGACGCCTGGCAGCAAATCGGCAACGAGGGCTGGACCTGGAACAGCCTGTTCCCCTACTACCTGCAGAGCGAGAACCTGACTATCCCGACCCGCAATCAGCGTCTGGACGGGGCGACCTTCAACACCTCCTACAACGGCGAGCAAGGTCCGTTGACGGTGGGATGGGGTGAGATCCCGACCAACAACTTGACTGCCACGATCAACGCTACCTTCCAGGGCCTGGGGGTCCCCTGGTCTGAGGACGTGAACGGCGGCAAGATGCGCGGCATCAACATCTACCCAGCTACCATCAACGTGGCCGCCAACGTGCGCGAGGACGCCGCCCGCGCCTACTACTGGCCCGTCGCCGCGCGACCTAACCTGCACCTGCTGCTGAACACCTTCGCCAACCGCCTGGTCTGGCAGGAGGAAGCCCGTAAGGGCGAGGCCGTCACAGCCGCCGGCGTGGAATTCACCACCGCCAACGGCACCACCACCACCGTGGTGACCGCGCGCCAGGAGGTCATCGTCTCCGCAGGCTCCCTCAAATCCCCGGCCATTCTCGAGCTCTCCGGCATCGGAAACGCCACCCTTCTGCAGAAGCACAGCATCACCGTGCAGGTGGATCTCCCGGCCGTCGGCGAGAACCTGCAGGACCAGACCAACACGCACGCCGAAGCCGCCACCCACGCCACCCTGGCCGGCACCAAGTACGTCGTCTACCCCGACATCTACGACGTGTACGGCAACGAGACGGCCGCCGTGGCCGCCTCCCTGCGCAAGAAGCTGGACGACTACGCCCACGCCGCCGCGGAGGTCAGCCACGGCGTCGTCACGCCCGCGCACCTCAAGGAGCTGTTCGAGGTTCAGTACGACCTCATCTTCACCCAGCGGGTCCCCATCGCCGAGATCCTGTACTACCCCGGCGGCAGCGCGAGCATTTCCTCGGAATCCTGGACGCTCTTGCCCTTCGCCCGCGGCAATGTGCACATCGCCTCGGCGGATCCTGCTGCCATGCCCGCGATCAACCCCAACTTCTATATGTTCGATTGGGACGTCGACAGCCAGATTGCTGTGTCAAGGTACATCCGAGAGACCTTCAAGGCGCAGCCGCTGCAGGAGCTGGTGGAGGGGGTGACGGTGCCGCCGCTGCAGGATGATGCGTCGGATGAGGAGTGGAAGGCGTGGTTGCTGGATGGGAATTGTAAGTTGCACTTCCCGACTCCTCATTCTGTTTTCCTTCCCGTTGAGACAAAGCATCAAGAATGAAGAAAGAAAAGAGAATGTGGCTAACGTTTCCTAGACCGCTCGAACTTCCACCCCGTCGGCACCGCCGCCATGATGCCCCGCGAGAAGGGCGGCGTCGTGGACCCCAGCCTGAAGGTGTACGGCACCCGCAACGTGCGCATTGTCGATGCCTCGGTGCTGCCCTTCCAGGTCTGCGGCCACTTGACCAGCACCTTGTATGCCGTCGCGGAGCGGGCGGCTGAGTTGATCAAGCAGGAGTCTACTTTGTTTTGAATGGTGATGGTTTAGTTGTATGTTAGAGAATGGAATCGATGTTCTTTTAATGGAGCATATGGTTTGGCATGTTTCAAGTCATCGCTAACATGGTGTAACTAGCTGTAGCACTCGAACTTGAACTCAAAAACCCCTGTGTTTATCTATCTATCTATCTACAACTCCATTGGTTCTTTTCTCTTGCCTTTCATATTGTGCCGCAGTATACAACACTTCTTCCGCCTATCGTCACCCTCGGATTGCCCCATGAACCGCGTGGATCCTGCCCTATAGGATAGAGGAGTGGGTATAGGAAGTAAAGAATCAGACATTGGAAGTATATGTGAATATCTCAAATAGGAAGAAGCTGGCGCTATTAGGTAAAGCAAACCAATTGATTATACGCATCACTATCATCATCATCATACATACATTATCCCACTACTGATGACTTCTAGGTAATTCGATTGATCACATCCTTGATTCTAACTATGTACCTAACTTATAGCTAAGGTAAAGGATGCTATACAATCCAATATCAGTAAGATACATGTAATGTATGGTACTTTGGTCGCCTGCTTCCACATGACCTCCCTGTAAATGCTTCCCGCTTCTCCTTCGGGCGAATGTTGAGACTCCTCCATTCCTTCTTTACCTACTTGACTCAGTTAGGATGAACCTACCTCAGGTAATCCTCAGCCAATTGCCTACCGTTGTCAAACGCGGTCTGCTTCCTCTTACTCTGCTTCGCAATGAGTCTCACCTGTCCTCGTCCCAGCTGCATACCAAAGTACTATTGTCGGGAATCAGACTGATAAGCGATTCCACCTATGTTTTCCTCAACCTCGCGGACAACACACTGGATGATGTTGACGTATCTCTGCGGCTGGACAAGCAACTGAGGCTCGACCCTCGCTCGGCGCGCTATGGGCTTGGTGCTCTCGAGAAGCTCCCACTCGAGATTCTCCACCTCATCCTCCTTGCGCTGGACATACAGTCAATGACGGAGTTCCGTCGCGTCAACAAGAAAGCAAGGCTCGTCACGGGCTCAATTCCCCAAGACCGCCGAATCCTCGCGCACGCGCCCGCCGCCATCCACGGCAGCCTCCACCTCGAAACCGCACGGAACTTCTCCTGCCAGGCTCTGTCCGAGACACTCTCCACCGCCGAGTGTGACGGATGCGGCGATTTCGGCGGATACCTTTACCTGATCACCTGTCGCCGCGTGTGTTTCCTATCTCTCGGCGAGAAGACCGACTATCTTCCCCTATCACGGAAGGATGTGATTCGCAAATTCGGGCTGGACCCTATTCATCTAGCGCGTCTGCCTCGCCTGAAGAGCTTCCCGGGTCGTTACTCACCTCGAGGGATTAAATGTCGACGCCGTGAGACCTTGTTCGATCATTGCTCTGCAAGGGAAGCGGGGATCGCGGTTCATGGGACAGCTGCGGCGATGGACAAATACGCGTCGGATACGGTCTCCAAGCAGCTCGAGGCCTACAATTCGCGACTACCTTTGCGCCAAACGAGTCAGAGACCCGGGCGGCCCCCCAGGTCTGAAGACGCCTTCGAAGGACAAGGTTCGAATCCCAAGCGCTTCATGGGTATTATACGTGCGCCATTCTTCAGCCGCCATACGCCATCCCCCGAATGGGGATTTCACTGCTTGGCTTGCAAGCCCAATCATTATCGTCGACCACTTCATTGGCGTCGAAAGTATACAATCAACAGTTCTTGAGACCATATCAGAGAATGTGGGGAAGTGATAGAGGGAAAGCACGTTCGGCGAATTAACCCAGAGTAATAGACATGTTTGAAATATGATAGAAAAACCAGCCACTCATCGGAGCATAACCTCATCAACCCATCTTTTAGCCCGCCGCCCTCATCAACTCAGCATCTCCTATCTGCGCATTATGTCTCTGCCTGGTTTAACCATGTCTCGAGCGCACATGTGGAGCGAAGGGTCCATGGATGGAATGCGCGCCGACCAATCCGGCGAGCTCACCAACCACACCCCCGGCTCTTGATCAGCACCACCACATAAATAGCACGTGAGATACTTCGAAGGAGAAGCGCTCCAGTTTCGCTCGAGATAGCACTTTCCACCCTCGGATACCAGAGCTCGCCCAACTCGAATTCCCTTCTGCCCCGGATAGGTGAGCACCCAACTGGGGATCGACCTCCTGTAGGCCGAAGTCAACGAGACCGACCAAAGCTTTCTCCGTCTCCTCGTCCACGGCCGAGCCATCAAAGATTGCTCGACCAGGCCAAGCAACTGGGGTTGCGACTGGCATACACGTCCATGGACCAGAGACAAAGTCGGTCTGTGTAGCTCACCATGTCATGCAAAATCTCACGGATTCCGCGTGGGAAGTCCTTTAGTTTGTTCAGCAGACGGTCTTGTGGGAGCTCGATAGTAGTGGATTGTAAGGAGAGTGCCGGGCTTTCTCGCTGTGTGGTCTGCAGCTGCTCGCTCAACATAGATCTAGACTCCAATTAGGGTTTGGTCGGTTCTCGGTTGCGACAATCACCTCTGTACTGTGGTTCGAATGTCAACCGGTTATCACAGGAATTCCCTTAAGTTTGGCACGTAAATACATACCACGTGATCACAGCAGCCACGCCCTCCAGATTGATATTCTCCAGACCACCCCGCTGGCAAATCATAGCCAGTGCACCACGCCTCGATTGTGGGCTAAGCCTGCTCTGGGACTGCACTGGCCATCAAAATAGTGGGCCATAGATATTACAGTACTGTCTGTATTGTATGGTGCTCAGCAAGATCATAATACTTGCAGCGGCAGGGGGCTCAAACTCACAGTGCTCAAACATCCGACTCACGGTCGCAGCGTCCAGCTGCGATGGGGAAGTGTAGAACGGGTCGAGGAGCCCCAGACCCACGGCTTCGGATACCCAATACATCTCCGCAAGAGTCTGTTCAGGTTGTTCATCCTTCGGGGTATGAGAGAGTCGTTTGGTCGCGTTGGACTTGGCATGTGATCGCCAGTTGTGCCGGCTGGCGTAGGAGCGGATCGCCGCCCGTGTCGGCTTCTGCCGGAGTTGTTGAGGCCGAGGTGACATCCACAAACTCGAAGACCGTATCCATTTGAGAGTTCACCTACTTGGTAACAGTTGAGGCTTTTCCCGGTCACCATTAAGTCAAGAGTTGTTGCACTTGTTGGGAATGAAGAATGATGAAGACTCAACCTGACATGTAGACAGTAAACAGGCCCAGGAGTCAAAGCGCGGTTCCCAGTTCGGAAAGCGTCGTGTCATGTGACCGGTACACTGAAATCAGCGCCAGGCCAACTGAAATAGAAGTGCACGTTTCTACTTGAAAACTTTGTAAATAACCGATCAATAGAGAACGTAAGCAATTCCAAGCACGATACTGAGGTTAGATATGCCTGCTGAGAGATCACCGCTGGATGGCATATCGTGAGTGGGAAATATATTTCCGCGCCGTGCCGAAGAGATATCCCTAACAGTGGTTGCAATCTGCCAATTTACTCCCTGCCTTGTTGAGAGATGCCTCAGATCAAAATGGGAAGATCTTGTCAGATGCAGTTTATTATGGAAATGATACAAGGGAAACAATATGGCTGACTGCATTGGCTCGCTAAAGACTCGTACGAGGAGAATTCGCTCACAAACAAACTTATAAAAAAAAAAAAAAACAACCCAACAAAGAACGCCAACATGCGCACGAGTCATGCTAGATCTTATGATTCTCGACTACATCACACAAAATTCCCAGCGCGGTGCTGCGCTTCTGGCGGAGTATCCGGGGCAGCCGCCGGGGTCGGGCTCTGGCGCAAGACTTCACTCGTCGCGATAGAAGAGGGACGCGTTAATGGAGTGCTCAAGCCCAGTTCACTGCGGGAGGGTGCCGTCGCGAACATCACCGACGCTCGGTCAAATTTGGCCTCGCTCTGCGGTCGCGCGCCCTCGGTCAGGGATACCATCGAGTAGTCCGCGGCCTTGGCGGCTGCCCTGGCTTCGATGCGTCTTCTCTTGCGCTTATCCCGCGTGCACATGAATGCGGCGACGCCGATGAAAAGTAGGATCAGGATGGTGAAAGTGACGATGGCAGCAATCTCACCGCGGCGGTTGTAGGCAGCCTTGGCAGCGCTGGCGGAGTTGGTGGCCGAGGCGGTTGAGGTGGTGGTTGAGGCTGTCGACGTGGTCTTGGTCGTGGTGGTTGCTGCAGTGGTAGTGGATTGTGAGGTGGCGGAGGTGGTCGTGCTTGACGAGGTGGTGCTGCTTGCTGTAGAGGTGGTGGAGGAGACTGTGGAGGTGGTAGAGCTTGTAGTGGCTTCCGTGGTGCTGGAAGAAGTGGTAGAGGTGGTGGAGGTGGTTGACTCCGTCGTGCTCGTCGTTGACGTTGAACTCGTCGAGGTGGTCGACTCAGAGGTGGTAGAGGATGTCTCCTCAGTCGTCGAGGCTCGCTTCTGAATGACCCAGTCCCCATGAAAGCGTTTCGCGTGGGCCTTGAGGTTGTTGACATCGGCCGTTTGGGTGGCTACAGGTACGGTGACGGTGACAGTTGAGGTGGGAGCCCATGTTGAGGGTAGATCAGCAGCGGGGCCGGGATGAGCAGCAGCGAGAGAGGACAATGTCCCGAGTGCGATCAGATAGCGTAGTTGCATATTGTCTGGTAAGTAGTTGAGCGAACCTGGCTGGTCGAGAAGAAGATTGGTTGTTGAACAGTGGGAGCCGGATCTCTAGGCGGGCGAGACCTGCATTATCTATAGAACCGAACATACTGGCTTTCCACCCGAGCCATGACGAATCCCAGTCCAAGCACCAAGTGATGATGAATTCTCTGCGTGTTAGGGAGTTCTTGTCGTCGTACGTGGTAGTACTAGGGCTGAGGCTGCCCAGTTATTTTGGTGTTCGCAACGGATGCTGGTTGGCTCGTAAGGGTCGAGTGGAGCAGTGAACGCTCAACCGGCCACGCGGCTTGCGCTCCACCGTTGCTCGTTCTCATTTTCTGGTGCTATGGCGCACCCAAACACCACGAATTGATATGCACTATGCCAGACAATAGCGATATACTTAAGTGTACCCGAGTCGCCGTCGGATTGGAACGGTTTTGGGTGGTTGTAAAGCACAAAGCATCAACAATTGTGTACGGATAGAGATCGTTCCGAGACGCGATAAGGAAAAAACTTTAGCCCGCGATGCAGAAAATCTTGTTCGGAGTGGATGCATGCTACCAAGTCGAACGGCCGATCGTCTGGTTCTCACCACCACAACAAGCCTCGTAGGCTATGCCCCAGCCCCAGCCCCAGCCCCTCTCGTTTGTTTGACAGGCTATTTTCATCCGAGAAATGAACTTCTCGAAGAAGCCTGCGCCACACCCGCTCATTGCTCGCTGACTCAGCGGAATTTTGGCAAACTCAGATCAGCGACCAGCGACAGAGTGTCTCGCCTGGAATTCTGATCGGGCTAGGCCAATATCAACCCATTTCGATGCAATGATGTGAAGAGCGGTGGTCAACTCGACGAATCACAGCGGCCGTGACTTTCAAAGTTCCTTTGGTCGCGATGAAAGGCATAGGGGCTCGCTGTTCTGTGGTCCAACAAAGCTAAAATAGCAGACCGCGAACTGAATGAGTCTTGACGGGGTCATGGTCAATCCACAACGCTGCGCAAGACTCCCCCAAATTCGGCATGGAGACCGAATAAACATACCCGCTTTGTCATGGTCCACGTCAACTTCACTGAGCTTGTAGACTTTCAAGCCTCAAACCCAGTCTCCAATAGGCTCCATGGCCCTTGATAGCGTTTCAAATGTGGGAGCCATGGGTACGTAGTCGAAATCTCGGTGATAAGTCGATCTAGCCGCTTCTGATCTGCATTCAAGTCCGAGTCTAGCTAGCTGCTTCGCACATCGCGGTTCGATGTGAGGATATGAGCCACGGGTTGGCAATGAGATGTCAACTTCATCGATGACGGAAAGAACGCTAGAGTATACGATGTGTAGATTGAGGTCGTTGGAATGGAAAGCGATCGGGGAAACTGTAGTGAAGAGAAAGATTGTCAGTCGATGGCACTCCATCCGCAGCTCGCAGGGCTGAGTATACTGGTTATTCCATTCGCTGCTTCTATTGGCAAGCGATGTAGCACACTCACCGATCAAATCTGCCGACTCGAAGAATGCGTGGACTGGTCCAGGCCTTCCCGTCGAAGAGTGAACATGTGTATAGTGGATAATGGACAGTGGATAGTGAAAGTAGAAGGTAACTTGGAAGACGAACTTGGAAGAGTGGGTGGTTGCACAAGGCCTGCGGAGATAAGAGACAGCCAGCCGGAGATAATCTTTGAGAGCTCGGGAGAGCTGCTCCCGTGACCCTCGGATATCCTGCCCCTCACTCCCTCACTGCTCCCTCCCTCCTTCCCTCTTCCTCGTTTTCGATTGAACTCCCTAATCTACTCTCTCTTCGATCCAGAGAACCTCGAAATCATAGGCGAGAAGCATTTCCCCCGTGTACTTCTTCAACTCGAGTGGGAGAGATCGACTGCAAATGTCCATCTACCTCGACGAGGAGATAGCTGAGCGAGTACAGTGCCCCCTCTTCCGAGTATTGGTCTACACGTCCTATACTGATGATCGTCTTGCCATTCAAACAGCTCACTAATATAACACCCCTCTTTGAGCAACCAACCGGCTTTTGAAGGAATCGGCTCCCCGCAACAAAGCCATTTTCTCCGTGGCTAGGTCTCATAAGCGGCGGTCTAGGGTCATGATAACCCCGCGTCAGATCGGCATTCTGAATCCTGCAGGCCCCTTGGCACGAGGACAATTCGGGTGGTGCTTGCGGCGTTGGCTTTTGTTTCCGCCTGCTTTTGGCATGTCGATTCGCTGGCCACCAGTGTATCCTAGTTGGAAAATGAAGCAATTTACCTTTCAACAGACCGCCTCTCATTTGCAGCAAGGGCGGCGCAAGGGCACGGGGTGGTGTGAAGGTTAATCGTGCCATGAACGCCTTTCCCGTGCAGGAGCCATTCTCAAGACAACGCATCACAATTGGTGCGATGCGCTTGTTTGATGATTGCTGGGTCGTAGTGCATGACTAACTAGTCAATTTCCTCCTCCACCTTCATCTTCAGCATCTTATGATCTGATCCTGGATACAATCCACCAAATGTCCCTCGCCAGCACCCTCCCCCTTTGACTCTCTTCCACCATGGCACTGACCCCTGAGACTTCAGACTCGTCGACGAGTCTGCTTTCAAGATGTTACATCCAAGAGCCCATTGCCATCGTGGGCATGTCATGTCGACTTCCGGGCCAGAATGACTCGCCCCATCGCTTATGGGAGTTCCTGATGAAGGGTGGTGTGGCAGACACAGAAGCTCCCGAAACGCGATTTAACCGGAAAGGCCATTACGATGGTTCAGACAGACCACGAACTTCAAGATCCTCTGGCGCCATGTTCATGGAAACCGTGGACCCTGCCGCGTTTGATGCCAAATTCTTTAACATCACTCCTCAAGATGCGATATCAATGGACCCTCAGCAGCGAATATTGCTGGAGGTCGTCTACGAAGCGCTCGAGAATGCCGGCATTTCTCTCGAGTCAATATCAGGCGAGAAGTATGGCTGCTATGTGGGCGCCCACCCTGGAGGTAGGCTCATCCGGTTCAGGACACTTTCCTTGTGCCGACGCTGACAACCCAGCAGATTATTGGGATATCTTCGCACGCGACCCTGATGCGCGACCGTCCAACGTAGGTATTGGGTGCTCCGGAACGATGTTGAGTTGCAGAGTGAGCCATTTCTTGAACATCAAGGGTCCCAGCATGCCCATTGATACCGCTTGCTCCAGCTCGTTAGTGGCTATGGACGTCGCTTGCAGAGCTTTGCATACTGGAGAGATCAACGGAGCGATCGTGGCGGCATCTAGCCTAATTCTCAAGTAAGTGACGACTCGATTGCGCCACTCATGTCCATGATACTAATTTGCGCAGCCCGGAATATGCTTGCGAAGGTATGCAGCTATTCCACAACTTGAAGCGGTCGTGACTAACAGACCTAGGTGGCACAATCAGATATACACATTCTCCTACCGGTCGCTGCCATGTCTTTGACGCCAAAGCTGACGGCTATGTGCGAGCGGAAGGTATGAATACGGTCATTTTAAAACGACTCGATGATGCACTCCAAAATGGCGACCCAATTCGAGCTGTCATTCGAGGAATCGCAAACAACCACAATGGTCGCACTCCGGGTATTGCCTCTCCAAGCGGCGATGACCAGGCCGCAGCCGTGCGACAGGCCTACGCAAATGCAAACATTACGGACTTCTCTCACATCGGATACCTCGAATGCCATGGAACCGGCACTCTGGTCGGTGATCCGATTGAGACTGAGGGTGCTTCCTTGGTCTTTGCGCCGTACAGACCAGATGATCAACCACTGCGGATAGGATCGGTTGGAGCGCCCATTGAAATGACCTGCACTACGAAATCAGATGATGGAAGCTAACATTTTACTAGATCAAGAGTAACATTGGACATTCTGAGCCAGCCGCAGGCTTGTCGGGAATCTTGAAGGCTGTAATGGTCCTCGAGACTGGGAAGATTCCAGGCAACCCAACATTTCTTACACCGAACCCCAACAGTATGTCCCATATCCACTTCCTGTATCTTTGCTAATTGTTACAGTCGACTTCAAGAAGTTGAAACTAGAAGCCTCACGGCATGTCACCGACTTTCCCGACATGCCATTCCGCCGTGTTGGCGTCAACTGTTTTGGTTTCGGTGGGTCGAATGCGCATGCGATCCTCGAGGAGCCAAGCGTAGTCCTCCAAGGCTATAAACCGACATATACATCCTCGTTCCATAAAAGCTCGGGTAATGAGGACGAAGCGACCACCAATCGGCCCTATCTGCTGTGCTTTTCAGCCAATGATGAGGCATCGGTCCGTCGCTATATACAAAACATGACTGAGCATATGCAGGATGAAAAGGTCAAGATCAAACTGCGTGACCTTGCCTATACGCTCGGTACCCGAAGAAGTCATCTGTTCAATCGAGCTTACATGGTTGCCGATAGCCCCAACTTTTCGCAACCCACCCTCGTCACCTTTGGCAAGAAAAGCGCCCGGCCGCCTCAGGTCGGCTTCCTCTTCACGGGCCAGGGATCTCAATGGCCAGAGATGGGTCGTGAGCTACTCCAGGCGTTTGAGCCTGCACGCGAGATGATCAGGAATCTTGACAGCGTCCTCCATTGCTTACCTGACCCACCGAAATGGACTCTGTATGAGGAGCTGACCACCGCTCGAGATGCGGAGCATGTGCGAAAACCCGAATTCAGCCAGCCGCTTGTGACAGCACTTCAACTCGCTTTGATCGCGGTTCTTCGTGGTTGGGGAATTGTGCCAAATACTGTCGTTGGCCACTCGTCTGGTGAGATCGCGGCCGCCTACACCGCTGGGTACTTGACAGAGGCGGAGGCTATCATCATCGCCTACCACCGAGGAAAGGCGTCAGCGGACGAGAAGCCGGGTGGCGATGCACTGGGAATGTTGGCTGTAGGCATCGGAGCTGATGAAATCGTCCCGTTCATGGACGGCTGCGAAAATGTTCAGATCGCCTGTTATAATAGTCCCAAAAGTCTTACCTTGTCTGGCAATAAAGCAGGACTAGAGGAGGTGAGGTCGCGACTGGTAGAAGCAGGTGTCTTTGCGCGCATGCTGCAAGTCGACATGGCCTATCATTCTGCGTACATGGAGAGTGTTGGAGCAGCCTACGAAAGGCTGCTAGCGCGAGATCTGCCTCCAACATTCCACGGCAACAGGGCATTTGACTCAGTTTCCATGTTTTCGTCGGTTTACGGCTCGAAGCAAGAGCAGGCACCCGACGTTCATTACTGGAAGACTAACATGACATGCCCCGTTCGATTCGACGACGCTGTGCGCT